GCGATCTAAAAACTAAAACCTCTCACTCCCTGCATTTTAAGTCAACCCAAACTTTTTTGATTTTCTAATAGATAAATAAATTAAAGATACATCAAGTATTTATTTTCGTTACAACCTTCCTGAACCATCAGTTTTCCCCTAATTAATCTAATTTAGGTTAACAATTCGAGTTTCACTACGTCACTCACTAACAAGACTAAATTTGGGAATCATTTCAAGGCAGGCTAATTGTCACTGATATTTAATCACAGCTGGTATAAAATCGCGACAAAAAGTCTCTAATTAATTACCACGGAAGTTCTATGTTTTGCTGAATTAAGGCTCCAAGGGTAAAACAGCATGGAATTTGGCAAAACAATTGATAACTATTTACAGCTTTTAAATGCGATTATGCAGTTACAAATGAAAACAACTGCGATATGGAAAGAGTTCACTGTTAAATTGAACATGTAAAAATTTGGATTGGAAAAATTGCTCATTAAACATTATAAATAATAAAATATAAATATATTGCTCGAAATTATAACACACAAACGGTTTTGTAGTTAGTCTATCACTATTGTTAAGTATTCGTTGAAAATATATCTTGACATTAGTCGGTCCCAAGGCATAATATGACTTGACATTTAAATATTTTTGCCTTTGGTCTGGCTCCAACAACTGTTTTGAATTTTAAGAATATTAACATGTGCTTCTTGATTATTGTTGGTTTTGTTTATGATGTTCTGTGTTCATGTCTTGGAAATATAAAACCGTTGTACCGTTGTACTCAATTAATTTCCTCGTGATTATTTTTTTTCTTTTGTTTTTCTCAAAATATTCGTAAAATCTTTTCTCTCTAATTGTTTGCATGATATAATATAATAAAATAATGATATATCAACAACACTAGTACAACAATAGTAGTAACGTTTGCTAAATAATGATGAAACAAAATACAAGCAGTGAAAATAAAATTCAACAAATGGAAAATTGATAGAATTCCCAACAGAGGACATAGGATTCGAGGAAGTTGACAAATATAAAAGTAATAGAAAATAGATACATTTATTTACTATACCGTTTTTTAAACTCAAAATAATAATTATCACCGTACACTTTCTTACACAACGTTCAAAATAACCTAAAACATATTCTTCAAATTGCCTATCAAGTCTTACCTCAGTCGAATCCACTCCGGAGCGCCCCTTGTCTTCGGTGACTCCCAACACGCTCTCGACAATTTCTAGTTCTTCCGTGGCCATCACTGCGACAACTGACTCGAGACTCAATCTAACGTCAAAAATACTCACCATTAAACAAACACAGACTAATTAAGAGTGACCTTGCCCTCCTTCAAGTTCACCGAGGACCGGTGAAGGCTTAAAGCGTAAAGCCGACAAGCAAACAACGCAATCAGGAGAAAGTTGAGCGATCTATTAAGAGATCGTCTATTCTAGAGCGATTTAGTATTGATCATTTTTAAATTATTTAACTTTAACTAAACATATTTCTCTAGATTGTAAAGCTGATCAGTTTTCACCAATATGATTTCTTGGCTCCTGCTGTAGAACCTAAAATGATTCTACTATTTAAAAAAATACTCAGTGAATCTTTAAAAAAGGAACAAAAAGTGCTAGAGAAATTATAAATGCAAGTATATAAGAAATACTATTTAAAAATCACACCATGCGAATCCTAAAATATAAACCGTATTAGGCTTACTAGTAGTAGTAGATTACCTTATAATAATCTAAAATATGCCTACAGAAAAGTAAATATGAATGCAATTAAATGTAGAAGATCTAAAAACCAAGTTGTATGTGATTTATAATGGTTAATTGGTTGTTTTACGAACGTACCTTCCCTTATACAAAGGGTTCCCATAAGTAAATGCCAAACAATTTAGGATAGGAAATTATAGATATGTTATTTACGAGACGTTAAAAAATTTCTTAATTTCCGTTTTATTTTTATCCGTTAAAAACATATTCCTAAATTTGTGAAACTTCCTTACGGAACACCCTGTTTCAAGACAGTGTCGTTTTTTGGTTTCTGTTACAAATGTCATCTTTTGCGTGTGTTGGATAAAATCATAGACTAGCCAACACAAATGACCAGGCACTTATTAAATATGTTAAAACGTTCGTTACCGTACCTGTAATTTCATATGTCAATAATGAACATTCAGTTAATACATTTGACATAATCTCATAATAGGAGACGTAGCTTATAGCATTGACTATATAACCACATTTTAGTTTATAAGTTTTATTTGACTTAACTTTTGAACCGTAATTGTGACAGCAATTAGGTGTAGTACTATTTGTTTAGAATCATAAGGACGATAACATATTAATTTTGATCAAAACTAGCTTTTCTCCAAAATCAGATTTTTGTTGTTATTTTATGGGTTTTTAAGGGAAAATAATATAAGTTACAATAACTTTTGAACCATATTTTTACGGAAATGGGACTTTTACAATTTTGTTCAGGATTTAAAGGACTACATTATAACATACTATATTTTTAAGAAAATCTTTTGGACCATTTTTGAGAAAATCCGGTTTCCCCGTTACTTTATGGGTTTTTTGGGATCTTCCCCATTAAAATCAAAATTTCAAAAAAATAAAAAAAAAACCCCGGCTTTTTCTAAACTTTTTTTGTTAATGTATGGGATTTTTTGATGGAAAAACAACATAATTTACAATAACTTTTGAACCGTAATTGTTACAGAAATGGGAGTCGTACCATATTTTTCAGAATTTAAAGGGCTACAACATACTACATTTTTATCAAAACCGTTGGGGCTATTTTTCAGAAAATCCGATTTAACCGTTATTTTATGGGGTTTTATGGGAAAATCAACATTAAGAATACAAATTTCAAATAAATGAAAAAATTCCTGGATATACCATGGATTAGAACCTACACACCAAATTTAATTGAAATCGGACCACAGGTGAAGTCCCTAGCTCTGTACACATCCAGACCTACACACACACCCACACACACACACACACAGACATCACTTCGAAAACAACTTTTTTGGGTCCAGGGGGGCCCAAAACGAATATATCCACTCAAAACTCAAACTCAAAAATTTTGACGAAAACGATACTTATATGTTCAATGCTATTAGTATAGGATTTGGGCCAACAACGTCATTTTTTATGTTTATGATCCATACCGATATTTTTCTAGTGTTCGTGATATATACTACGGTAAAGGGTGGTAAAAGGGGATAGCGCTGGGTTCACAACGATATTGTAGGCATACGGTTAAGTATCGATCGTCGTAGTATGAAAAAAACTACTATCGAATATCGTAAATCGATTGGCTTCCATCCATAGCGCCAACCAACCAACCAAAACGTAAACAAACAAGTTTAGCTGCTAACTCATGTTTTCCAATTTTTCATCGTATCGTGTCATCGTATTTACTTATTAATTGTTTAATGTAAAACGGATTGAAAATAAAACTTTGTAAAGAAAACCAAACCGACAGACAGAAGAGAGAGGACAGAGACAACAAAAACTACTAGCACTAGCCTGAAAGGAGAGGAAAATATTTGATTCAATTATGTTATTGAATTATTCCAACATTGTTCCTTTTGATAAGTTTCATGGTGCATACTAGTGCATTATTATGGAGGAAATATGCAAAGGTCATCTAAACGCTTTTAAAAGTAAGGGGGGTGGTAATTGGTAATTTATCTGCCGTTAATTGCACATATTACTGGAATATTAATTTTAAAATTCCTCCGTAATCTAAGTTCTTATATATTCATCATGCTGGTTATCAGCCTTACTGTAATTGCATAATAAACAATAAACATTTTCATTGGCAAATTTTATGCCAGGTTCATAGATATTATGTTGTACTTATTTATTTGCATTCACTCTCACTGTAATATTGTGAATAAAATTATGGCCTTCCGTCGTCAAGACCACATCACGACGTTTAACGACAGACATAGGAGCTATAGGAGCAGCTGCAGCAGAAGGCACCAATAGTTTACTTCCACCAGTTCCACCATGAGACAGCCGGTGAGCCAGAGCCGATACTAAAAAGTCGATGTCTGTCATCCGGTAGAAAACAAGCTCGATATTTAACCGAATGCCTACCATATCGTTGTGAACCCAGCGCTCTGCGGTAAGCTGAATTTTTATTCCAGGATTAGTGTTGCCTACAGTATTATTTTGAGGCTTCTGATTGGCTGAGGGAACATCCTTACCGCGACGATACGGTTGATGTCAACGGCCTCGGTGGTGTAGTGGATAGTGCTGGGCTGATGATCCTAAGGACCCGGGTTCGAATCCCACCCGCAGCACAATTTTTTTGTATTGGATTTTTTTCATTATCAACAAGTAGTTTGGTTGGTTTGGTTAGGTTATGACGGTTTAATTTTATAATTAAAGCATTATGAAATTGAATTTTGCCTATTTATAGTTTTATTTTATGAACAGAAATATTTTTTTTCGGTTAAACCTTCATTTGATTTTTCATTATTAGCAAGTCTGGTTAGTTTGGTTAGGTTATGATAGTTTAATTTAGGATTTGAGGCATTTATAATTTTATTTTATGAACAGGAACTATTTTTTCGATTAATAAACCTTCATTAGATTTTTTCATTGTCAGCACGTTTGGTTGGTTTGGTTAGGTTGTGACGGTTTAATTTAATAATAAAAAAATGTAAAATTGAATTTGAGGCATTTATAATTTTATTCTATGAACAAAAATAATTTTTCAATTACTAAACCTTCGTTATAGTCAATCAGAAGCCTCTAAATGACACTGTTGGCAAAATTAATCCTGAAAAACAAATTGTGCCTCCGGCAACTCAGTTTCTTCTTCTTCTTGCCTTTTTCTTCTTGCTTCTTGCTTCGTCGCTCTCCGCTTCGCGTTCCCTTTCCGTTTAGCGCTAACCGCTAGTCCCCTTCTTCTTCTCTTCTCTGCTGCTCTCTCAGCGTCTCTTTCCTCTCCCTTTCCAGCTCCATCACCAATCACCATCACCATCATCTCGATCTCCTCTGCGTATTGCTGTTTGCTGTTTGTTTGCTGTGTTTGGTTTGAGCTGAACGAAAAAAGCTATTGCAACTGCAAGCATAGTTCGCGTTTCTGACTAAAGTGAATTCTAATTTATTAACATTTGACCTGATCCTTCGGATATTTGCTCATAAAACTCTATAACTTAACCCATTTTTACAGTGGAGACCACGTTTCTGGCAAGGGTAAATTGTCACTTCTCCCCGTTTTCATCAATTTGAATCATATCATAGTTGAATTTTTCTTTTCCCTTTTTCGCGTAGGCCTAATACACAGTATTAGACCGTGCTTAAACTTGTTATCCTAGCTGCATGCACTAATTTTGAATCAGGGTAGGCCTACAAAGAATGGTAAGTCACCAACAGTAAGTTAGGCTAACTTACATCCTAGGCCTACATAGACCTAGGCTAGTAATTTACTCTGTAGGCCTATGTTAATTGGACACCTTAAAGTTCCGTTCCTTTAATTTTAGCTCATAGGCCTAATTTAGGTGGGTACACTTCCATATCTGTTGGCACAAACAACCGAATGGAAATATTGATTGATAAGTTATATCGAATTAAACAATCGAACAATCAATATTAGGCTACTCGTTCGGTTGTTTGTGCCAACTGATATGGAAGTGTACCCATTTAGGCTTCTTAACACGTTCGCTGCGGGCCATCAAATGGCAAGCGTAGCCCCAGTGCGGCGCAGCCCGCAGCGTCGAACAAACCCAATTGACGGGTGTTTGGCTCTCATATTTCGGTATGACGAATAGCAACGTGCGGTGATGTCCTGTTTTATAACAAGAGTCGACGTAGTTCGCCAAACACTCACATATAGCAGCACTGCTTGGAACGTAGCCGGTCCCATCGTATTGCCAATTGGAGGGAGAAAGACGGGACAACAAGTTGATTTTTTAGTTTGCCAGACGGGGATTTTATCGGGAAATTTTACTACCAACCTACAACACAACAAAAAGCAAGTCACCCACTACACGCTAATGTGGAATAGGTCTGCCTTCGACCGACGCTAGAGCAAAAACGATGATATACGAAAGGCATTGCCGAGCGTATCCGATCAGTTACGGCAGCGTCTGAACAGCGCTCGGCCCGTATCCTATCGGATACGCCCGCAGTGAACGTGTTAACTTGAATAAGTACCTACTAGGCTTAGGCCTAACCTTAAACTCAATTTAGCCTAATGTAGGGAAGGGCTAGAAGTTAAATTAAGTTAAGCTTTTCCCTTTTTAAGACACTGAAGTAGGGATGAGCATTGATAGGCAGGCCCTGCCTTTTTGGTAAATTAGGCTAACTGCCTAGGCTATTCGGAAAATCAGCATAGCTTAAGTTAATAGGAACCTGCGTCCTAATGGGGGGGGGGGGGGGGTTGCCATAAAATTGGAAATTTCGGTTAGAAATAGGCCACAAAATTAACACATTTAAGTGTATGACTGGTTTTCCCGGCCGGTGAGCTCATATTGAACTTATTTATTGTAGTGGGAATTGCGCAACTACCTACATCAATTGATGTAGGCCAGTTGGAGCACTTGATGTAGTCAGCACTGAACGTGTTAAGTTAAGTTAAGATTCTGTAAGCCTGAATCCTTGCTTTTGTTCCGAGTAAGTACCTAATACAGTAGGCTACTAAGTATGTAAAGTTCATTTTCTGGGTCAATCATGTAAAGGGCTTAAGTTACTTAGCCCTAGTTATGATCTTATCCTTAATCAAGTCAATGTAGTACAAGGAAAAATGTGTTTCGGATTCCACTATAAACTGTAGGTCCCTTACAGTATCACTGAACAGTATCTATCAGTAAGTATTTGTCTATAACTAAGGGCTACCCCCTGGCCGACTTAGACTTGTCACACTGCGTCCGGTCCGGTAACATCGGATTAGGCATGCCAAATCAGGTAAATTCGGAAACCGTTTGAAAACCATTAATTCAAATGGAAATCCCCACACTGCATCCAGCAAGGGTAAATTGTCACTTCTCCCCGTTTTCATCAATTTGAATCATGTCATAGTTGAATTTTTCTTTTTCCCTTTTTCGTGTAGGCCTAATACCCAGTATTAGACGAGTATTACCTCCTTTTGTTAGGTGCGGTCCGGTAAAATTATTTTGTATGAGAAGCGATAGGCTTCTGGCAGACAACTTCTACTCACCAGGGTACTCAGTAGGCACTGACAGTAGCAGCAGACGGGGTTTTGTGGTGATTGTTTACGTTTTACGAGTACGTTTTGTTACAAAATGGCATTAGAAGAGAAACTGATTGTGCTACAGGAGTAGGCCTACCCTGTGCTATATGGCCTGGGCCACAAGGACTACTCAACTTAGTTAGCCTATGAAGGAAAATATTTGGGAGGATTTTAAGGCAGAAATGTCATCATTGTTAAGTAAATATGAGATGGAAAATCTTATTGAAACAGAACAATGCAATGCAAATCTGTACACAAATCTTCTAGGCCAGTCGCCGCTGTTCTCGCATAGACTGGTCGCCGGAACTGGAACGCCTGATTCAGTGTGTGGAAATTTGCCGGATCCGGCGAAAAACACCGGATCAGAATTAACCATACCGGACGCAGTGTGTGACGAGCCTTAGATAGGCATTCAATGCCTAGGAAATATTTTTAATTGTTAGGCCTAATTATTTAAGTTATAGCAATAGGATTTATAAATAGCCCTAACTTACCTAGCCTACTTATTTTTGTTTACTATAGCGCTTCATGAGTTCCCAACAGAGCCCGACTGTACTTGCCCAACAATCAGTGGACCGGGAGAAGGTCTATCAATGGATTATTGAACTTGCCAACCCTGAGACGAGAGAAAATGCTTTGCTAGAACTCAGGTATTTTGAGCCAGTCCTATTGATGTTGTGAGGTACCTACCAAATTTTGAAGGGATAAAAACTTACCATGTTGATATAAACACCAGAACCAGAATTCGTTAAATAATATGAAGTAGGTATTGAAGTATAAGGCGAGTAGATTTATCAAGTAGGCCTGATAGAATAACAACAACTTACAATAAGTTGATCTTACAGTTTGTCTAGTTTTAAATAATATGGTTTAGTAAAAATCTGTTATTTACATTAGCTCTCGGTTGCTCAATTCAACTAGCTTACTTTAATTAATCTTGTAATAACTGTATTACTCAATATTAATAAGTTAAAAGAACCCGATACTAGGGACAACTTACTACATAGCATGTTAACTCCGACTGCCGTTCCACTCCGCTTCGTGCCATCGTTCCTAGTCGGTGACGTCACTCAGCAGTGCAGCCAACCACACACACGAACTCAATAATCTTCTGGCAATGTAATATAGCCTTATATATTACACTCGCCCAAACTTAAAATAAAACTCTTCTCTAACGGCCTAACCTTTTTCTTCTAGGCTAAGCCAAATCAACAATTTTTTTTTTCTTCTTTTACAATTTTTTTTGTTTGTTTATAAGCTTCACAAAATACTTCAGTAATACTAAATAAACTTTTTTTCTTCAAATAAAATAAACATAAAATCTTCTCTCTCTAACTCGGCCTTTTAACTTAAAGGTCGAGCCGCTTCGGCTTTTGCACAGTCCTTTGAGATCTCCGAAGTGATGGCGGGCTGCACTGCTGGCTGGGCTGCACTTCGGGATGCTCGTCTGTAGTGTGCGTAGCTGGAGATTTTGGTAGGCCTACACTCCGTTGTTGTCTTGGTGATGTATTCCGAGTTTCCATAACACGAGGTGATCGCTCTGGCGGAGATTGTATTCCCACAGCAGACTTGTTCTCAGGGGATTTGATCGGAGATTGCACTACCGGCCTATTGACTGTAATTTCCTCTTCCTCAGTCAACTTACTAGATCTCAAATGATCAGCGTGGCAGAAACGTATTTTACCTCCCAGGACGCTCACCACATAAGTAGACGGACTTTTCCGCTCCAAAATTCTCCCAGGAATCCAAGAAATGATCTCCTGCCGTACTGACTTCACAAGCACCCTTTCTCCCTCCACAAAGGATCTGAAACTTCCCCGATGGTTATCGGCTGCTTCCTTCTGCGCCTCCCTCTTCTTATCAATGGCTGACAATAAACAGGGTTTAAGCATTGTCAACTTAGTTCTCGGTTTCCATTGAAGGAACAATTCCGCAGGGGTAACACCAGTGACAGTACTGGGTGTGTTGCGAAATGCAAAGAGGAAATTATCCAATTTATGTTGTAAAGAAATGGTCTCAGAACCATTAGCCATAACCTGTCTTTTAAGGTTCTTCTTGACTTCCTGTACAAATCTTTCTGCAGCCCCATTCGAAGCAGGATGGTAAGGAGGTGAGAGCGTAAACTTAATACCGTTGTTGCTCAGAAATTCTCTGAATTCCCCACTAGCAAAATTGGGACCATTATCACTGACCAATTCTTCCGGTAGGCCAAAAGACGCAAACAGCGTACGCAGTTTTTCAATGGTTTTAAACGATGTAGTAGATTTCATGATAAACACTTCTAGCCATTTGCTAAAACTATCAACAACTATGAGCATTTGTTGTCTTGTTAGTGGGTCTTCCGCATAATCCACGTGGCTGCTTCCTTCTGCGCCTCCCTCTTCTTATCAATGGCTGACAATAAACAGGGTTTAAGCATTGTCAACTTAGTTCTCGGTTTCCATTGAAGGAACAATTCCGCAGGGGTAACACCAGTGACAGTACTGGGTGTGTTGCGAAATGCAAAGAGGAAATTATCCAATTTATGTTGTAAAGAAATGGTCTCAGAACCATTAGCCATAACCTGTCTTTTAAGGTTCTTCTTGACTTCCTGTACAAATCTTTCTGCAGCCCCATTCGAGGCAGGATGGTAAGGAGGTGAGAGCGTAAACTTAATACCGTTGTTGCTCAGAAATTCTCTGAATTCCCCACTAGCAAAATTGGGACCATTATCACTGACCAATTCTTCCGGTAGGCCAAAAGACGCAAACAGCGTACGCAGTTTTTCAATGGTTTTAAACGATGTAGTAGATTTCATGATAAACACTTCTAGCCATTTGCTAAAACTATCAACAACTATGAGCATTTGTTGTCTTGTTAGTGGGTCTTCCGCATAATCCACGTGGCTGCTTCCTTCTGCGCCTCCCTCTTCTTATCAATGGCTGACAATAAACAGGGTTTAAGCATTGTCAACTTAGTTCTCGGTTTCCATTGAAGGAACAATTCCGCAGGGGTAACACCAGTGACAGTACTGGGTGTGTTGCGAAATGCAAAGAGGAAATTATCCAATTTATGTTGTAAAGAAATGGTCTCAGAACCATTAGCCATAACCTGTCTTTTAAGGTTCTTCTTGACTTCCTGTACAAATCTTTCTGCAGCCCCATTCGAGGCAGGATGGTAAGGAGGTGAGAGCGTAAACTTAATACCGTTGTTGCTCAGAAATTCTCTGAATTCCCCACTAGCAAAATTGGGACCATTATCACTGACCAATTCTTCCGGTAGGCCAAAAGACGCAAACAGCGTACGCAGTTTTTCAATGGTTTTAAACGATGTAGTAGATTTCATGATAAACACTTCTAGCCATTTGCTAAAACTATCAACAACTATGAGCATTTGTTGTCTTGTTAGTGGGTCTTCCGCATAATCCACGTGGATGCGCTGCCACCTACTTGAAGCTCTAGGCCACTGACATAATGGCACCTTAGCCACAGCATTCCTTGTACACTGACACACATGACATGAGAGAACAGTCTCTTCAATGGTTTTATCAATCCCCGGCCACCAAACAAAGCTTCGGGCTAACATTTTCATCCTATTTATTCCGGGATGCTGATCATGCAGCAATTGGATAACGGCACTCCTCAGTTTCTCTGGCACCACTACTCGACTACCCCATAAAACACACTGGTTCTCTACGGACAACTCATCCCTTCTTCGAAAATAAGCAACCAGCTCAGAATCTTGACTATCACGCCATCCATGCCAAATGAAATCTCTGACCTTTGTCAAAACAGGATCAGTATCAGTAAGTCGAGCGATATCCTTAGCAGTAATAGGATTGAGATCACTCACCAATTTGAAACAGTCAAAGGCCTCTACCAGGGAAGAAACATGAGAGATGTAGTTGGAATCCAGCTCCAATTGGTCGTCATCAGGTAACGGTAATCTCGAAAGAGCGTCCGCATGTGGCAAGTCCAAGCCACGGCGGTACTTTACTTCAAAACTGTAGGCAGAGAGGATCAGGGCCCATCGTTGAAGACGCGCAGCGGCGACACAGGGAACTCCCCGCTTATTTCCAAAGATTGTCACTAAAGGAGCATGGTCAGTCTGTAACACGACATTTTTCCTACCGTAAATATATTTATGGAATTTTTTTACTCCAAAAACAAGAGCCAAAGCTTCTCTATGCAACTGTGAATAATTTCTTTCACTAGCACTCAAGGATTTCGATGCGAAGGCAATAGGCCTCTCTACTCCATCAATTAGGTGCGAAAGCACGGCACCAACACCTCGTGGACTTGCGTCACAAGTCAAAACTAATGGTCTATTTACATCGTAATGAACTAAGACATCTGAAGACAATACCCATGTCTTACTTTCTTGAAAAAGAGAAGAACATTGGGATGACCATACCCACGGTGCATCCTTACGAAGTAGATCGTAAAAACAGCTAAGTTTGTCTGAAAGATTGCAAATAAACTTCCCATAATAATTTATAAGGCCTACATAGGCTCTTAACTCTTCCTTTGAAGTTGGCTCGGGTGCATTCCGAATCGCCTCCAAAATACCCTCCTGCGGGCTGATCCCTTTGGACGACAAACAGTAGCCTAGGTACTGTACTGACGGCTGTAAGAATTTACATTTAGAATCATTTACCTTGACTCCATAACTTTGAAGACGTTGAAGAACACTCTCCAAGCGTGACAACGCTTCCTCTTGCGAAGATCCACCCACCAGTACGTCATCCAAATATGCCACTGACCCAGGTAGGCCACCAATAATTTTGTCCATGGCCGCTTGAAAGAGAGCCGGAGCCGAAGACAAACCATACGGCAGACGTCGCAAACGCACTAAGCCTTTGTGCGTAGTTAGAGTCAAGAGTGGTTGGGACTCCTCCGCCACAGGAAGTTGGAGATACGCTGCCTCCAAGTCCAAAACTGAAAACCAGCTACAACCTGCTAGAGTAGCAAAAATGTCCTCCGGTTGAGGCAAGGGATAGTGTTCCGACTGGATCACTTGATTAAGGGTTACTTTAAAGTCCCCGCAGAGTCGCACCCCACTTTTCTTCTGAATCACCACAATAGGAGTAGCCCACTGAGAGCTGGTAACGGGATAAGCAATACCTTCAGCAATCATCCTATCAATCTCATCTTCTACTGATTTACGCAACGTGTAAGGAACAGGGCGATATTTACAAAATTTTGGCACAGCATCCTCTTTTAGCACAATACGTGCCTCAACATCCTTAATTTCACCAGGACCTCCTTTGAACACAGAGGCATACTTTTGTTTCAAACCAGAAACGACTTTAGGCTCATCGGCCTTACCTAGGGTTAGGTTAGGTTCACCACCCTTAGATTTAACACTGCCTGATAGGCTATTAAAATTACAAGTAAAAATAGATTTCCAGTCAAAAGCAATATGTTGTAGCCAACTACGGCCTAGAAGCATAGGCTGGTTCGTACGACCAATCTTAACGACTATCATAGGTAAATGATAAGTCTGGTCCATGTAGGCTACTTTGACTAAAGCTTGTCCAATAACATTGACTTCATTGCCTGAATATGTAAGCAACTTGATATCTACAGTACTCAATTGTACATGAGGGAAATATTTGTTAAACAATTCTTGAGGGCACACAGTTAGTGCCGAGCCAGTATCAATTTCCATTAATACGGATACATTCTCTATTTCTAGGCTTACCTTAAAGGCAGAAACATTATCACCAGAATTCATACTGTACAAAGACAAACTTTCAAACTCCACTTCATCTGGACCACCACTAGGCCTAGGCCTATTTTCCTCTTCCATCTGATGGATTTTAAATTTACCACTTTTTATGGAATTTTTCACTGGATTTTCTGATTTGAACCTACAAACCTTACTGATATGACCCAACTTTTTACACCCATGGCACTTGTAATTACTATACGGGCAATTATTAGCCCTATGCTCTGGATTGCCACAACGAAAACACTTATTTATCTGAGACATATCTCCCTTCACATCACTTGAATTTGATTTAGATCCCGCACTGTGAAAATTTGAACCTCGGTTGGAAACACGTGGATTCTTCTTGACCTGAAACCTGGAAATTTCCTGAACACTTGTATTCGAGAATAGACCTGTTTGTTTCTCGGCCTGTTCAAGCCTGAGTGCAAGAGCCAACGTTTTCTTCAAATCCATTTCTTCGGAAAGTAATTTTTGACGAATTGCTTCATTTTTAATTCCCGAAACTAACTTGTCTCTCAGTGCGTCCGATAAGAATGTTCCAAAATCACATGTCGAAGCCAAATGCTTCACTGCCACTACGAACTCGGCAATACTTTCAGATTGTTTCTGGCATCGACTATAAAAAGTATAACGCTCAGCGACCACAAGGCGTTTAGGAGAATAATGATCTTCCAAGATTTTGCTCAAATTATCGTAAGATTCTTCATCAATCTTCTTAGGAGAAATAAGATCGGTGAGGACGGCTAATATTTTAGGGCCTATTACAGTAATCAAGATGGAGACCTGCTTCACGTCCTTGACCTCGTTGGCCTTGAAAAAGTGTTTCAAACGTAACAAATACGAACTAATATCTTCTTCGTACGGATTAAACTCCGATATCCGACCGATACTAGACATTTCACGCACACGCGGATTTAATTTCGTCGCCAAATGTAATAACTGTATTACTCAATATTAATAAGTTAAAAGAACCCGATACTAGGGACAACTTACTACATAGCATGTTAACTCCGACTGCCGTTCCACTCCGCTTCGTGCCATCGTTCCTAGTCGGTGACGTCACTCAGCAGTGCAGCCAACCACACACACGAACTCAATAATCTTCTGGCAATGTAATATAGCCTTATATATTACAAATCTAATGTTTGCCTACCATCACCTTCTTTGACTAGGCTATGCACGGAACAACTCTCAGCTCTCATACTAACAAGCACAACACTTTCATTATACCTACAAATTAATTTGTAAATAAATTTGTAAATAATGTAATATTTGTAATTTGTTATATATGACCTACAGAGTCATATATAACAAGTCAACAGATAGGTAGTGTTGACTGAGATGAATTGAGTTGTAACATTATTTTAGTCTCCCACTTTCAGTCAGCATAGCTGAGGTTGGCCGTTGTTCATCACAGATGGGTAGAGTGAGTCAAAAGCATAATCAACAATATTACCTTGAGTAAACTTAATAGTTTAGGTACTTCTCTAGTCAGTCCATATCAGCTCACACAGGTCACTGAAATCATGGCTCTCTGGACTTAATGGATTGATATCTCTACTACTACGTTGTATTTAAAAGCCCGATGAAGCAGATCATGGTATAAAACATAATAATAATAGCCAATAAATATAGTTTCATGGGTTATTAGCCTAATTAAAAATTATAAAGTGTCGTATATTTTCATAACCAGTTCTGGATACATCTGTTGATATTATTGTATTTTTTATTATTATTTACAAATTAATTTGTAGGTATAATGAAAGTGTTGTGCTTGTAAGTATGAGAGCTGAGAGTTGTTCTGTGCATAGCCTAGTCAAAGAAGGTGATGGTAGGCAAACATTAGATTAATTAAAGTAAGCTAGTTGAATTGAGCAACCGAGAGCTAATGTAAATAACAGATTTTTACTAAACCATATCATTTAAAACTAGACAAACTGTAAGATCAACTTATTGTAAGTTAATAAACTATGCTATTTTCCTTCCTTGTGACATCTATTAGTCTATCACAGGAAACTGAACCAAGGGAGATAAAATAAAATTTAAATTGTAGCCTACCAAATTTTTTGGTGAGTGCCTCATTCAACGAGGTCCATGTTCTTGTTTTATAACAAATAAGTATGGACGGGATGTCGACTTCAGCATCCCAAAGTCAATGTAAAATTATAGTTATAGCAAGAAGCCTGAGGATGATAGTGAGGCTAGATGGTTTTAGTGAACAGTATGCTTGTAATGATATTTCACCTTAACCGTGTTTTACAGCAAGAAGCGTGAGGTGGTGCCGGACCTGGCACCCATGTTGTGGCACTCGTTTGGCACGACAGCTGCCTTGCTACAAGAGATCATCAACATATACCCAGCCATCAACCCAGCTACTCTAACGGCCCACCAGTCAAACCGAGTATGCAATGCCCTCGCCTTGCTGCAATGTGTGGCGTCTCATCCGGAGACTCGTAGTGCCTTCCTGCAAGCGCACATCCCGCTGTTCCTCTATCCCTTCCTCCACACTGTCAGCAAGACCAGGCCATTTGAATATCTCCGCTTGACTAGCCTGGGCGTCATTGGCGCTTTAGTGAAGGTAAGCAAATTGTTGGATTTAGGCCTATCTTTTTTTATTTAGCTTACTTTCTGTGAGTAGAGAATTGTAGAGATGCTTAACATTTTAGCCATTGCCCCAAAGTTGTACAATTGGCCAACAGTTTTCCTAAAATATTGGTTCAGGCCAGAATTAATGTTCAGGCCAAGTTCGGATTGGGTTATTCACATTTTGGGAAAAGATGTGGGAACGGCTCAATTATGACCGCAGAATCGATATCTGTTAAGATTGTGCAAATTAAAATTCATAATCTTGCTGCGACTGTGTGGTATCTTAATGATTTTGCTGTGACCGTGAAAGTTGTTTACAATTTTACCATGATCGCAAGTATGTTTTTGTTTGCGACCTCAACAACCCAGTTATTAGTTGTTGTTGTTATTAAGTTAGTTGGTTTTGTTGTTCGGTTGTAGGAGAGATATTAATTGTAGAATAAAAATTAATTTGCAAAAAAATCTATAATTTCAAAATTAACCCGATTTTGGCCCAAGATCTGAAGGTGAAAGTAATGATGATGACAAGATGTGTGAAATTAGTTATGGATGACCCAATGTTGTGAGTTTCAATAATAGGCTTTTGGTAATTAGTGGTTTAATCCTATAGCCACAATTATAATAGAGATGTCTCGATAACATTGTATAGCCTATTCCATTCTCGATGCCAATAACATTATATCAAAATGTTAATTTTCTGTATGAATTGGTTACACCACAACCACCACTTTTTTTATCATCAGGCTAAACAAAGTAATTTTGGGGTAAGTGAGAAGTGTTTTTGTAGTAAAGAAAAAAAAATAAGCAGCAATGAAAACACAATTAACTTTAAAACACACTAAATAAATCATCAATCATTTTAGCCTCTGGATTGCTTAGGCCTATATGTTAATTGATATTATAAGGCCTTACCTTAGCAATCCTGTTTTTTGATCCGAAATTAATTTGTCTTAAATGTTGTGAAACTTTCTACAAAACCCAACTGGTGGATTCTATTTTAGAAAAATTTGGTCTACTTGATTCCGACTGATGATGGACCTTCGGGCCCGAAATTAATTTTGGATAAAAAAACAGCATTGCTAAGGTAAAGCCTTATAATATCAATTGACATAAGCAATCCAGAGGCTAAAATGATTGAGGATTTATTTAGTGATTTTAGTGTGTTTTAAAGTTAATAGTGTTTTCATTGCTGCTTAATTTTTTTTCTTTACTACAAAAACACTTCTTACTTACCCCAAAATTACTTTGTTTAGCCTAATGATAAAAAAGTGGTGGTTGTGGTGTAACCAATTCATACGGAAAATTCAGTAATATTTTGATATAATGTTATTGGCATCGAGAATGGAATAGGCTACAATGTTATCGAGACATCTCTATTATAATTGTGGCTATAGGATTAAACCACTAATTACCAAACGCCTATTATTAAAACTCACAACACTGGGTCATCCATAACTAATTTCACACATCTTGTCATCATCATTACTTTCACCTTCAGATCTTGGGGGGAAATTAATTTCGGATCAAAAAACAGGATTGCTACTTAAGGTAAGGCCTTATAATATCAATTACTAATTAAATACCTCATCAAAGGTAAATGAAGATCTTTTTAACAAATTACCTGTATAAAAAATGATTAAAACAGTCATTTTCTGTGGCCGTGAACACATCTTGTTCATCTTCTGTGTTCTCTGTTAAATCCAGAATATCTTGATCAGCCACGGAAACATCATCAAAGTCTTTCATGGTCGTGGCAAAATTTTCTGTTGTTTTTTAGCGAATTTCCCTATAGGGAAGTAGCTATTACCGTAGGTCTCATGGTAAGACCTAAGCCCGGGACCGATTTACTTTTTCATTTTGATGTCCCCAGAGGCCAAAAACACCATTCGTTCAAATTTTTATATATCTATATATATATATATATATATATGTGTCCATCCGCACGATAACTTGAGTAATTTTTGTCCGATTTTGATAAAATTTGGTAGGGATGGACGGGTCCCGAAATTTCGGGAATTTTTCGGGAAAAAAATATTCCCGATTATCGGGACGGGATTACATTTGACTCGGGAATTTTTCGGGACGGGATTTGGTCCGATCGTCGGCGATTTTTCCGCTTAGCGAGTGCCGATAACGCCGTTATTGCGAGCGATAGGTCCGCGAACGCAGGAGACGAAGTCATACCGACGATCGCGCCGTGACCGCGGAGTCCTACCGACGATCGCGCCGTGACCGCGGAGTCCTACCGACGATCGCGCCGTGACCGCGGAGTCCTACCGACGATCGCGCCGTGACCGCGAGTCATACCGACGATCGCGCCGTGACCGCGAGTCATGACGACGATCGCGCCGCGGACGATTGACCGCGGAGTCATGCTGACGATCAAGCCGCGGACGATTGACCGCGGAGTCATGCTGACGATCAAGCCGTGATCGCAAGTCATACCGACGATCGCGCCGTGACCGCGAGTCATACCGACGATAACCCCGTGACCGCGGAGTCATACCGACGATCGCGCCGTGACCGCGAGTCATACCGACGATCGCGCCGTGACCGCGAGTCATACCGACGATCGCGCCGTGACCGCGAGTCATGACGACGATCGCGCCGTGACCGCGGAGTCATGCTAACGATCGAGCCGTGATCGCGAGTCATACCGACGATCGCGCCGTGACCACCAGTCATACCGACGATAACCCCGTGACCGCGGAGTCATGCTGACGATCGAGCCGTGATCGCGAGTCATACCGACGATCGCGCCGTGACCGCGAGTCATACCGACGATAACCCCGTGACCGCGGAGTCATACCGACGATCGCGCCGTGACCGCGAGTCATACCGATGATCACGCCGTGACCGCGAGTCATACCGACGATCGCGCCGTGACCGCGAGTTATGACGACGATCGCGCCGTGACCGCGGAGTCATGCTGACCATCGAGCCGTGATCGCGAGTCATACCGATTATCATGCCGTGACCGTGGAGTCATACCGACGATAACCCCGTGACCGCAGAGTCATACCGACGATCGCGCCGTGACCGCGAGTCATACCGATGATCACGCCGTGACCGCGAGTCATACCGACGATCGCGCCGTGACCGCGAGTTATGACGACGATCGCGCCGTGACCGCGGAGTCATGCTGACCATCGAGCCGTGACCGCGAGTCATACCGATTATCATGCCGTGACCGCGGAGTCATACCGACGATAACCCCGTGACCGCAGAGTCATACCGACGATCGCGCCGTGACCGCGAGTCATGACGACGATCGCGCCGTGACCGTGAGTCATGACGACGATCGCGCCGTGACCTTGAGTCATACAGACGATCACCCCGTGACCCGTGAGTCACAAGTTACTATAGGTACCTGTAAATTGTTACAAATTTTTTGGTTTTTATAGATCAGTGCCACAAATGGTAAAAATTGATTTCGTATGTCATTTTTGGTAACTGCAATACAGTACTTTCTTTTTATGCACAGAAAAAAATCCCGTCCCGTCCCGTCCCGAAAATTGGGAAGGAAATAAAAATCCCGTCCCGTCCCGTCCCGAACTAAAAATTCAATCCCGTCCATCCCTAGTTTGAAGGTGTAAGGCGGGATAAACTTGAACGAGTTCGCGAACCAGCATGATCGGACTATGGGAACGGGGGTTTATGGGGGGTTTTATGGGGTAAAAATAGGTTTTTCCCATTTTTGACCCTAAAAACACAAAATTTCACAATTTATTTTTAAACCATTTTGTAGAGCTTAAAAAAACAAATAATTTAGTATATTGAAACGTTATTATGCGCCTAATTGTTACGGAGAAAATTAAAAAAAATTGTAATTTTAAAATTCTCATGTTATTCTTATGGAGAATAAGTCAACTGTTGTAGTTTGCTTGTTTATGAACATATTTTGATCAAATTTCGAAAATACATTAATTTCTTACTAAACCACAGTACCTTTTAATATTTTACATTAAAAAAATCTTTTTTACCCTCCCTGTTGCAGCAAACCTAAGTACTCATTAAACTAATTCTGTTTAAATAGGGAATAAATGTGATATTTTAAAGGAGACATTTTATTTAAAATCCAATCAGGCAGATGGAAATTCGCTAAGTCTGCAGGTTTGCTGCGGCGGGAGTATTTTTTTATAAATGTTTTTTAACTTCATTTGAAAGGTAGCCTATTTGGTTTGATAAATATTTGCTTGTGTTTATTGTTTTCTGAAAAGATAACTAGTCAATTACGACCACGTCTAAATGAAAATAATCTTAACTGAGTTTTAAATTAGGCTAAGATCTAAAAATTGTCATCATCCTATTTTTTTTAATTTATATTTTTTATTAAACTTTGTACTAATTGACATATAATGATTACAGACTGATGAGCAGGAAGTGATTACGTTCCTATTGACCACCGAAATAATCCCCCTTTGTCTCCGCATCATGGAGTCAGGATCTGAACTGTCCAAGACTGTTGCAACTTTCATCCTTCAGAAGATACTGCTCGACGACAGTGGTCTCTCTTACATCTGCCAGACTTACGACCGCTTCTCTCACGTTGCCATGATTTTGGTAAGTAACCATTTAATAGTTCCTGGAGTATAGGCCAGTTTTAACAGATTCAATTGTTCTTGGTGTATGTAATTGCATCTTTTTAACCGACTTTCCCACTACCAACAAAAGGAGGAGGTTCTCAATTTGTTTGTGGCAATGTTTTTTTTTCTTCTATGTATGTTCACTAGAAGTGCGCGAGCCTGAGATTTTCAACTGAGCCGAGCTTATGAAAAAAAGCTCTCGAGCCTCGAGCTTTACCGAGCCGAGCTTTTTTCTATTATAAATAAACGCAATTACTGTACAAATAATAAGTTAAGCCTAGTCAAAAACCTTTTTTAGTTAAGATTAAACAATTTAAAGTTAAGATGCATCATTCCACTATATTATGGTGAATTGAATGTCAGAAAAATTATCCTAAAATTGCTATAGCTCTTAATCTGTAACAAAAGGTAATAGTTTGACTAATTTGAAGAATGTTTATGTAAACTCATTAAAAAATGTGACTAATTTAAATAATGTTTATGTAAACTCATTAGAAAACGTGTAGTTAATTTTGGGAAAATAAATACTGTAGGTACTTCATTTTTGCCACTACAGTAGTTGTAAAAACTGCCTTATTGACAATCGACTACTGTAACTCGATAGATTCATTCAATACTTTAATTTTGTTCAACTTACCGTATTGTTGACTTTGACTGTTGTAGGAAAGTAGTAATAGTAGACCTGTTGCTAGCTCTGCCGAATGACGATATGGGTGGTTGTTTATTGAACATTTAGTTTACGCTGGGCTGGACTAGCCTTTATATTAAGTTGGATAGTTTTTTTTTTTTTTTTTTTTTTTTTTTTTGTAAGGATGGGGATTAAATATTAATATTAATTAATATAATTAATATTAAATATTAAACATCAACACAATATTATTTATTAAATTTGGACGTAGAAAATCATGTCTTCCGAGATCACGGCAAAAGCGTGAATTTTTTGACGGTGCGAACTTTGCAGATGTGTTTTATGATCGCGATCGTAGAAGCTTGGCTTGAGCTCGATTTTCCGACTTTAGGCTCAATCTCTCAAGCCTGTAGGCTAGGCTCGGCTCGGCTCCAAAATCGAGCTGCTCGCACACCTCTAATGTTCACTAATTTCATCCTTCAGAAGATACTCCAGGACGACAATGGTTTCTCTTACATCTGCCAGACTTTCGATCGCTTTTATCGCATTGCCACGATTTTGGTAAGTAACCATTTAATAGTTCCTGGAGTTTAGGCCTACAGGTATAACAGATTCAATTGCTCTTGGTCTATGTAGTTGCATCTTTTTAACCGACTTCCCCACTACCGGTACCAAAAAAAGGATCAGGTTGTCAATGTGATTGTGGCAATGTTTTCACCTTCCTCCCATGCCATAGTATATGGAGAAAGTATTGTTTTTCTATGTATGTTCATCAATTTCTCTGTGATTCTTTTACCGATCAGCAAGTTCCACCACCAAAATAACCTGGAGAGTTTCTATTTGGTACCATATAGCATTATGTTTTTTAAGTGTTTTAATTGTTTCGGTAAAAAATGTTGAAAACCTCAAATATTCTACATTTATTTTGTTTGTATTTGAGCAGAGAAGGCAATAATTAATCACATGCAATGTGGACATCCTCTTTTAAATTTTGAGTATGATGTGTCAAAAATCACCATAGAGCCGCGCCTTAAATACGTGAACTTGACTATTACAAAACTTTACTTAATTGAAATATTTCATTCTTTTTAGAGCGTTTGAAGTTGGTTGTATTTTGTTTACAAAAAAAAATAAAATAAGCAGGATCATTAATTCGGAAGAAATATTACCTACAAGCTAAAATACACTAAAAAATAATTGATTTTATATGGTTTTTGCCTTTTCCTCTCTAAATGCAATTGTGTGCATTATCCTTGAAGTGTTTATCTAATCTGACTCCTTTCTTTGTCTTCCTTGAGAACTTAATGAAACTGATCTATTACCAAGATCAAGCCGTACCATTTGTGGTTCAAGGATCAATTCTGTTCCGTCTTTTCCGGCACCGTAGACTTCCACTATTAATACATTTGAATTACTATAAAATCAAAGGAATATTACCATTTTGTACTTAAAACTTGCATTAATCAACTTGTTTAATCTTCCAGGGGAAAATGGTACTCTCTTTGGCCAAAGACCCGTCTGCTCGTCTGTTGAAACATGTTGTTCGTTGTTACCTGCGACTCTCGGACAATGCTCGGTAGGTTGAGTTTGTTTTTGGTGGGAGTTGAATGTAGAATGAATGCAGAACATTAATTTTAATGGTTTAAGGACAACATTTGGACGTTTATTTGAGTTTAATTTGGCCTAATTCAAATTATCACCATCAACATTACATTGAGACAGCAGAACACTTCATTAATGTATATTTCATTGTGAATATGAATGCAAGTTGAGTATGGAATTGAGTGGATGATCTGGGTTACTAAGACCAACTCTATTGAGTCCAGTCCAGTATAAAAACCATAAACAATCTATGTGTTTTTCTTTAATTTTACGCATAGCAAAATTATAAGTTATGATTGACAGCAATCCATGGAACTGGATTATTCTCATTCTGGGTAAAAAACAACCTTAGTGTAAGCTCTCCTCTTGTTTTGTGATCATCTATTTATTTACATTTGTTGTCATGAGAGCCGAAGCCCCCTGACTGCATACCCGGTACCTATCCTTTAGGACATACCCGGGCCCCATGATGTAGGCCGAAGCTTACGCATCAACCTTTAGCACATCATGGGCGGATGACTTAAGGTCATCAGGCTCGCCGGCTGCCGAAGCAGACCCTTCGGAAGGAGGGTTGCCCCTCGATCCTAACCAGGGATTCCGGCTGCTTGTTTAAGCGTCACTCCACCTGGGTTCCACTAGGTCGGGACCTAGAGGTCCATGATAGAGCGCCCCGACGCATTTAGTGCAAGCAACACTCGGGACCTATCTAATCCCTGACAGGCAGAACCCGCCATCGAAAGCCAGGAGGAAGGGGACCGTCAGCACGCTGACGGGGGGAACCCCAACCTCCCATTTACACCGCTGCCCGATCGAGGCCTTACCCATTGCTGGGAAACCAGAGATAACCAGAGCGATAGATCCCCAGATACCCCTGGCGGGCTCGGACCCAGCACCCGATCTACTTCGTTTGCCCGTCAGACCCAACATCACTGCCAAGCCATCAGGGTTTCCCAAAAGGAGGCAGGTATAGAAGTGGAACCCACCCGGATGAACCTATCCACCAAAGGTGGCGACACCCTTGACTCAATTGAGGTTCCGGGAAGAACCCCCCACACTCAAGATAACCATACCGTCCGTGCTCAGAGACATTGGATTGGTTTGCATAAGTACCTACAAACCGTTGCCCTCACACTGCGGAAAGTTACGTTGCCCTTGAGTGTCCCCGTGAGCTGCGGGTACTTGCCCGTTTTCACCTCCAGGAAAGGTTACTTCCAAAGTCGAGGATTTGCCCACTAAATGCTGGTCGCACACAACAAGCAGGCCGAAGCCCAAAGAACCACAGACACAGGTAGGTTAGAGATTATGATGTACTTCCATCTCTCCTAGAGCTAAACACCCCTCCATCCTGGATAAAGGAATGTCACTGGGACCCAATGCCCAGTCGTCCATGTCTGTGGCCAACTTGAAAATGCCGATACCAACACGGAGCATTTACCTCCCCTCTGGGGGCTAGGTATTTCACCTCCCAGGACGAGGCTACTTCCAAAGTCGAGGATATGCCTCACAAAATGCCAGTCGTACACGACAGGTAGGACTCAGTCACAACCACAAGCTACAGGCAGGTGAAAGATCTATGAACTTAATCAACACTAGCAGAGCTGAACACCCCCACCACCCTGAATGGAGGGAATGTCACTGGGTACTCTCACTTTGGGTAAACCCAAAGAGGCTGGCTTGTCCAGTCGTCCATAGCTTGTGGTCTACCTGAAGTGCCGGTTCCAACACCGGGCAATTACCTCCCCTCTGGGAGAGCTAGGGTCCGCGTGGTCGCCCAGGCCACGAACCCACGCAAGCGTGAGCCCCCTGCGGTTTTTGTGATCATCTGGGGAACCTTAAAATATCAATTAATTAACCCATATTTTCTAATTACACAATGATTTAAAAAATAACTATTTGGTATTCATGATGTGCCCAATACCTAAACACAGCTTAGTCATAAGTGTTAAGTGTTACCAATTACTTTTTCAGAGCCAGAGAGGCTTTGCGACAATGTCTGCCGGACCAGCTGCGCGACGCGACCTTCGCCACTTGTCTGCAGGAAGACAAGTCGACCAAACACTGGCTCGCCCAGCTGCTCAAGAACCTAGAGACAGGCCCTGGAGTCGTGCCTGTCGGAATGTCGCCCCTAGTGCCTCAGTAACTCCCCTACCTCACCTGAAATTACCTGACTGATACATCATCCCACTACAGGTTGTGATACCTTCGAGTCAAAGTATTTAGTTCATCATTTGATTGGTTTTTGTCCAATCAGATTCATTTGCGTTCATTGTTCCATTTTGACAATTTTGTGTTAATTTGTGATATTGTGTTTGTAGTAGCTTTAAGACATACAGTAGAACCCCGGTTAACCGAAATAAAGGGAGGAGAGCCGTTGCGGATAACCAATTTTTCGGTTAAGCCTTCATATGCTAAAAATAGCCTATGTATTACCATGGTGTATATAAAAAATGAATTAAAAAAACAATGTCATCTAGGCCTATATAATAGTGACGTGTCAAAACCGAATCTCAAATATCGAGATTCGATCACCGAGTTTAGAGATTCAAAAGTTTCGAAATTAAAGATTTTGGCAGTTTAATTCTTGAAACTGCTGACATATTTTGCATCATTATTATTGTGTCTAAAACTGTTTCCACTTTCCACACAAGCTGAGATCAAACTAATCACCATTAACAGTAATAAATACAGTAAATTGTATTCTGATTCGGAACTTCAAAAGGCATCTTAAATACTACAACTGGAATAACATACAACTCAGTTTCATAGTGATATTTAATAAACACAAATAAATATTGACCATTAAATGTTCTAATTAATCTAATATTCATGTTTATGTTGGTGTCAGGAGCTTAATTTATTTTAATGTTATAACAAATTATGTTGTTTTGGGTTTTTCAGTCACATATTTATGTTATTATGTCAGTGTCAGGAGTGGACCTCTTTCAATTTGATTGCATACTTAAAATTTTATTATTACCTGTATTATTTTGTAACCTTAACCCTTGTAAATACGTTTGCGTCTAGGTTTTGAGATACAAATTTTCTGGTTTTGACCATCACTACTATATAATACAGTGTTTTACAGTGTTACAGTGTACAGTGTACAGTGTGGCCTACAGTGTTGTATTTCAGCTACAGTAATTTTTTTTTTTTTAAGAGGTTGGCGGCCTCTTTTAACCTTGCATTTGCCCGTCCACATAGACTACAGATCTTAAATTTACAGATTTTAAATGGGTTAGAAAATATTTGAACTAAACAACTGAAATTACCAAAGCATTTTACATAATGTATTACTTATATTTTAGCTCTGTTAACCCGGGTTTAGGTTAACCAGGGTTCTACTATAGTTGATTTCCAAATGAAATTACAATCAAGCTTAGCTGAAAGGTTTTTGGATTCAGAAATTAAAGAATTTTGTGGAAGGTAGAGAAAAAAGATTTAAGATTCAACTTAATGTTTTAGTTTTATCTGCATCACTTGTGGTTTTTAAATTTGTATCTTTTTTTAGGGGGAATCCAGCTAGCTTCCTTAAAATTCAAGTGCTCATAGATACAATAAATGTCTGTGTCTGAGTTGAATTATGCATCTTAATTTTTATTAGCAGGTATAAAAATAAAACACAGAAATTTTTTTAGCTTGACATTTTTTTTTGCTTAAGTTGAAATTGTTCTTTAAATATATGGATGTGGTTGGAATTTTTTGAAGCGAGTGATGGCATAAGCAATACTCAAAAATTTCATTTGGAAATCATATAAATTTGATCCTTTATTGTTGTTAAATTAGGAATTAAGAAATAATACACTATACATAATTATAGTAACAAACCGACTGAAAGTACCGTGCATAATACATTTTTTGTTAGTCAATGTTAAAGGCCTAGTAGCAACCAGTACATTAGGATCCTTTATTCAAATAAATAAGACTTCTTTTTCATATTCACTCACAATTCAAATCTTGAATAACGGTGAGAAATATGATTATTTTTTCATTAAAGAAAGGATTTGTAATCCATTTGTATTAAGATTGTATTGAGTGTGCTGAATTGCTGGTTAATATCGCTAACTGTGTTAGTTTATTGTTCCGTCTCGGCAATGAAGTAATTGTCTTAATAGGAATCGTTTTGATAACTAGCTATAAGCCTTTGGTTTTGACATTTTTCCCTAGTGTTAATTTCTTTGGGTCATATTATTCAGATGAAAGGACAGTTTTCAGGCAATAAATGTTGTGGGATAATAATGATGATGTTTTCAGTTGACAATCTTAATTTGACCCTTTTTCGTACAAACTAAAAGCCCTCAATTTGTTTGTATAGTAATTAAGAATATAATATTTATTGTTTAAAGTTTTATAAGCAAAATATAAAATATTGTTTGACTAATTTTTTTGTAGTTCTTTTTAATACCTTACAAATCTATTAATTTGTGAGGGGCACGAAGCAGTGGCAAAAAGACGTTGAAACTAATTTTATAGAAATGATCATTTAAAACCACTTCCAATTTTTTTTTTCACAATACAAAACAAGATTTACTCTAGTACCATGAGGAGTGAGGAATGAGTGTTAGGATAATTTAGTAAAGTATCTAGTATTTCGCGCAATCAACAATATAGGCTACATGTAATAAAGCTAATTACAATAAACTAATGTAAACCTTAGCAAAACTAAATACCCCTGCTGCAGCAAACCTGCCGACTAAGCGAATTTCCATTTGCCTGGATTGATTTTCAATTAATCTATTAAATTAACATTTGTGTTTCGAGTACCTAGGTTATCTGCTACGGGAAACTAATAAAGTGTGTTTTTTATTAAAATATCAATAGCTTAGTATGAAAAAATAAATCCGCCAAGTTTGATCAAAATATATCCTTAAACAAGCCAACTACAACATTTTACAATATTCTCCATAAGAATAACATGGGAATTTTAAATTTACAATTTTTTGAATTTTCTCCGTAACCATTCAATTTACAAAAACACTTTGATATTTGTTTTTTTAAGCTCTTTAAAAAGGTCTGGAGAAAAATTGATAAATTTAGTGTTTTACTCTTACTCTTACTTCCATGGCCCATAGCAAATTTAGTGTTTAAAGGGTAAAAAATTAGAAAACCCATTTTCATCCAATAAAACCCATTCCCATGGTCCCATCATACTAGTTTGCAAACTCATTCAAGTTTATCCCGCCTTACACCTTCAAACTTCAAACCAAATTTTATCAAAATTGGACAAAAATTACTCAAGTAATCGTCCGGACGGACACACATATATCTCTATATACAGGGTGTTTCAGAATTCGTGTCGGATATTTTAGGGTATTGTTCCTGGGTAAGAAACAAATCCAAATATCATATTTAAATTGACCGGAAGTCCTTAGTTACCCACACAGCCGCTATTTTGTTTTTTTCACTTATTAATTATTTTTTTTTAAATGGTAAAAGATATGAAATTGAAACTTTGCAAGAACATTAATGACAACTAGGCAAAGCTACCAAAAAAATTACGAACATTTTTAAAATTCATAAAACAAAATGGCGGCCATTTTAAATTTTGTTTCTTAAATTACTCAAAAACCGTTAGGTTTACAAACAATGTAGAAGAATAACTTTTTTAAGATAATTTAATTACAAATTGATTGACACCTTAATCTTTAAGATTGGATGAATATTAACTGAGATATGGCAGCTTTCGTAATACGTGACCGCTGGAGGTTAGATGTAGTGCATGCCGTAGTAACATTTATTAGAACTGTATTTGAACTGCATGCGGCCTAAGTCTGCCACAACAATGCAACAGATTGCGTCCGCTTTGAAAGTTATTTTTAAACGATTTTAGATTATTCCAAACAATAATAAAATATTACATAACCCCAAAAGTGTCTTTTTTTTATCAATTATCAATCATTAGGATGGCTTAAAAATTGCACACCTATTTACTGTTTTTAAAATTCACACTAAACACCCTGATATTTTTAATCAGCTGTGGTGAAAGTCAACGTACTTGTTTACAAACTAATCAGCTGATTTTATTTTGTCTGAAGATGTTATTGTTTATTCAACGTAGTCAGTTCCTCCAACTTTTTACACTTACTTTTAACGTTTACTCTCACTGTATAAGGTTAGAGGTAAAGGTTTCTTAAATGTTTTTGCAAAGTTTCAATTTCATATCTCTTACCATTTTTTAGAAAAATAATTAATAAGTGAAAAAAATGGCGACTGTGTGAGTAACTAAGGACTTCCGGTCAATTTAAATATGATATTTGGATTTGTTTCTTACCCAGGAACAATACCCTAAAATATCCGACACGAATTCTGAAACACCCTGTATCTATAGATTATATACATATATAAAAATTTGAACAAATGGTGTTTTGGGCCTCTGGGGACATCAAAATGAAAAAGTAAATCGGTCCCGGGCCTAGGTCTTACCATGAGACCTACGGTAATAACTACTTCCCTATAAGGAAATTCTCTAAAAAAAAAAAGATAAAAAACATTTTGTTTAATTTATACAAGAAAATAAATTAAACAATCTTATTTAATTTAATTTATATTAGTGAAGTAAAACGAAAAATATAGTTCTTCACATAGGCCAAAAGTGTCTTTTTGACCCTTTGCTCATTTTTCAATTGTAGTCGAACTTGTTTTGAAAAGAGTCACTTAAGCCTCTAGTAATAAATAAACTACTTACTATCTCTTAAACATTAAATTAAAATTTTCTCTTTTAAAAGTTTACATTTTCCAAGTGCCGCAACTATGTGAAGCCAATATGTGATAAATATATATGTGTGTGTAATATATATATGTGATGACAATATTATTTACAAGATAGTTAAAATGGCAACTTGAAAAGTTTGAACTAAGCTAAAACAAAAAATATGATTTTCATTCATATGCTAAATAATAAAGTTGTATTTAAAGTCTATAATATTACAATTAAAGATGATGATCTCTATTTAACATTAACACTATCAAGTTTTTGTAGAAACTTGTCGAGGAGTTTGCTAGCTTCTCCGTATTGGCCTTCCAAATAGTCAAGCTTATTAATCAAAATGTAGCGCAATCTGTGAACAAAACCACAGGTTGTTTGTTTAAAAGCAAACATACTTATTCACTTTAAGAGATATAAATAAGTACCTATTAATAATATGGAAAGTAAAGCGTGGGACTTTTGTCCTAGAGGTCCCGGGTTCAAATTCCGCCAATCACCAATGGAAGGAAGTCTTAATGCTGCAACATCTAGGCCTAACTGAACTAATGCTAAACAAACACTACAGGACTAGAGCCTTGTTGAAAAAATGGAACCTAACCTGTCGGCTACAAGAATAAGTATCACTAGTGTACATGTTGCTCGAAATTGAGCAATTGCAAAGACGTAAAGTAGTTACAGTATTTAAAAACAAATAGCTTATTTAAAAACGAATAAAAGTCATAATTTCCGATGAGTTTAAAAGACTCATCTCATAGATTACGTACCTAACAGTTCCATATAATCGACATTTCTTGTAAATATTTTATCATTTTTCAATAGCTGATCTGGTGTTTTAGTGTATTCTACAAATCTTTCCCACTTATAGCCGCATTAGGTTGTCCATGTTGATCTTCGTCAATGATAATGTAGTCTGCATAGTGCTACCTGTTGTCGCCAGTATGTTTACAAATTTCAGTAACTTTCTTTATAGCGATAATAATATTTTGTTAACATTACTTATCAACTGCCTGATTTTCAGAATAACCTCTCTGTCACAATTTTATTTGCTTCAATTGGCATTAATTTGGCTAGTTACTGTTAAAACGTAAGTTATATTTGCCTGAAAAAATGCAGAACTGAAAGGCCTAATGTTGTTCAGATGGTTTTTTGTTTCCCTTAAATGTGAATAATGCAAAACCTTCAGTGAAAGTTTTATTAAGGTGTCTTGGATGTCGTCATATTATTTTAAAATCACTTGACTTTTATGAAAACATTTAACATATATTTAATGTCCTTGCCGTAGCAGTTTAATTCAGCCTTAGAGTGTTTTCCTTTGCCAATCATCATAAAGTTAACTGTTAAGTCCGTGATTCATACAAAATAAATGAAAATAGTAACACTTTGGCTAACATCCTTGTTCATTGTTTGTGGAAATCTTCATATTGTATGTGTTCTTCACTATATAGGATGACCACGATAGTAAATAGTTTTTTTAAAGTCTCTATTTCTTCTACTTGGTGGCGTTCTATGACTCCTACGTTTCCATGGTTAAAAAATCGGTTCTTTCAATGATTGCTCAAGAAATACAGTAGCCTACCCTGTCAATTCATTTTTCTTTTTTGGTAAAATATATCAAATTGCCCTGGCTTTCTCGATTTTTTACATTGTAATATGTACGAATGTAAATTTAAGTAGTAAATATTTAATTTCAACAAAATCAGTAAATGTACCCAATGCGTTTTGTTGAATTGAAAAATAAATAACAGCAATTAAATTATACAGCTGATCAAAATGTAAACAATTGTGTTCTTCATAAGGATAACATGGGAACCTTCAAAGCCACTGAGGCATAGCCCAAGGGATTTAAAAAAAAGGTAAGGTCAGTTTGCAAATCTATGCCACACGCTCTTTCCAATGAGGCGTCAATGGATAAAATCGGTTTGGAAATTGCGGAGGATTTCAACCTCATGTAGCGTATATATTTTAATTCTATACCTAAAGAAGAAAGTGTTTTGAACTTTAGCACTCAATAATACTTACATATCTTTTTGAGACAGTGGTGGAGGGGCCTCCCTTTCTCCTGGAAATAATGAAGCTGAAGTTAAATCTTAAATTTGCTTTAAATCTAGCAAATTAAGAGTAATGGCCTGAAGGTATTATGATTAGTAGGCTTATAGTATTATGAATTCAGCGGTTCTTAAATGTTTTTATTTAATGGAATATATGAGGAAGAAGTCATTATCATTGTCCATATAAGGAGATGAATATCATAAGTGATTCACAATTTTTTGGGGCAACAAGTCCAATAATTCTTTAATTTACTGTTATTGAATTGCATGAAATGTTAATACAAAAAATATAGTGTCCCCATATGTATTAATGGAATTTAAAACTGGATAGACTTGTTTAAAGGATTGTTCTGGAGTTGGCGATCTTATCGTTCGGTGGTAGGGATGTCCCGATAGTTCCGATACTACTGTTGTGTACTCACGAGTGTGGGAGCGAGGGATGCAGGCGTAAGGGAAAGTTTAGGCCGTTGCACTGCTGAAGGGCCATAGGGCGGCACTATACCATAGCGTGATGTTGTGATTGTGTTCTTCTCGCTCCCACGTGCTCGTGAGTACAGGACAGTAGGTATCAATATTTTCCTTTTAATATTCTGAGTATCGGTATCGGTATTGCGGTAGCGAAAGAAATGTTGGAGTATCGGTATCGAATTAATAAAGCATGTCCTAGTTTAAACGGCTGTTAGTAAAATTTATAAGGGATAAGTATTTAATTACCATTTTTACTGTCATTTTTATCACTATAGCATAAATTTTGTTCAGTTTGGACAAGCTTAATTGGTAATAATCTTTCCTAAACAATGGAACAATATTACAATTAATCTCTCTTTATGATTTCATTCATTTTTCCCAGGTTAGGAGTCCTAGCATACCGTCGTCTTGTTTTGTTTCCAAGTCTTGCGTTACGTGTGTTATTACAGATTGTTTATTGTTTGTTGTTCCTTTATCTGAGTTAATATTGTAAAAAAAATTAGACCATTTTATGAATTCATATCAATACTTCTTTAAGTTACAAAACCTAATAAGTTAGTATTACAATAATAATTCTTAATCACTAAACCAATTTTTTTTTTCATAAAACTAAATGGATTTTCTTACAAACTTACTTAAATGAGTTTAATTATTGTAAACAGTTTTATGGTTGCCGATTTTGAACTTAGAGTCGGGACCACGTAAGTTTGCAGTTGGTGGCAGCCAATCACAAGACCAGGCTAGTGCAACGTTGCCATATCGCCCATTGACAACACTAATTAAAATATACTACTAAGCAATATTTTCAACTCAGCTGGTATTATTAGATTTGGCAGCACCGCAGCTGGTTCTCATTGGTTCATTCAAAACCATATGGTAAATAGGCTCCTCCCTCAACTGCAAACTTACGTGGTCCCGACTGTAGGCCTATAGAGAGCAATGATTATTCTTTGTGTGACAAAAATGTTGCTTGATGTATTCAGCAACCCAAGAGTCTTTGAACGGGACAGAAGATGAAAAAATGAAAAAATAAATAAGCAAAATAAAATTCTACTTATGGGAATTCACTTACAGTTTAAACTGTTTTTTTTTTATACTATTTGGTTCTGTACTGACGGTATCGATACTTTTATATATTGAATATATTTGTGGTAAATAGGTCAATACCAAATATCGGCTGCAAGCTAGTATCGGAAAGTCCCTACCCAGAGCTAGGAGGATTAAACATTAAGGAGAGGGCACGCGAATAGGAATACACATGTTGCGGTGAAGCCAGCTTTAGCAGAACACTATAGGGGCACGCGGAGCCGTAGAGTGGCAAAAAGCCTCGGCTATAACATGGGAGAGATAGAGAAAAACGCGACACGCGCTGTTTCGAATTAAAATTGCCGCTAAACTAAAACACCTGTGTTATTCACCGATGGCATTCTTAAAGTAAATTAAATTTCCTATCGAACGGTGTCAATAATTCCTATAAAAACTATTATTTATTATTTATTATTGAAGATCAAAGTTGAAAGAATTGGCCTGGACTTTGAACATGATTACTTTAATTACGTTTTTGAAAAAAATATGATGTATCTATACAAACTAACAATTTATTCGTGTTCCTTAATAGTTTCTCGAAATAAAAAATATATATTTACCTATATTTAAAAGTGGTATTTAGAAAAATAATTACAATAAAGTATTTTTTTTATTTTTTCAGTTTATAAAACAATCTTACTAATTATAGGTTAAAATGAAAAATTTAATTCGGGTGGTGAAATACATTTTAAATTTGCATTTTTTATAGTTTTATCGATTTGTTAATATCATTTTTACTAGTTTTAAGGCATTTATGTGCTAGGCAGGTGATTTTAAATAGCCAAAGTTAAGAAAAAATGCAAAGCCGCTCTAACTTTTTTTACACCAACAGCTGTTACAATTAAATTACAAACATAAAAAGTAAAACAATTTCTTGGCAATCAAGTTCTTGATTTTTTAATATCATATTGAACTATATTTGATCTGTTTGCCCAAAGAAACTTCAAGTAAAAAGTGTAAATGTTCAACAATTATCGCGTCTTCTGACCGCCAAAGTGCGTTTATCATTCTTTTAAAGGATTAAAACTTATTTTATTTCTCTTTAAGAAAATGTTCAAATACACATACAGTACTACTCATGATTTGAGTTTTAATTTATGAACAGTACAAGCCATTGGTGGTATGGCGGGATTTGAACCCGGGACCCCAGGAACTGGAGTCCCGTGCTCTGGTTAGAGTATTATAAATAATACACAATATAAGTATGACAAAAAATAAAAACAAGGACAACGAATTCTAAAAAGCAAGTCATCCTTGTGTAAATTACTCACCTTTGAACGTACTATTGGTTCATAAATATGACTTTCCTCTTAATAGGTTTCTAATATTACGGTTAGAATTTAAATTTTTAATTTTCGTAGCATGATGAAGTCTAATTTTTAAATAGATAATTGATATTTCTGTTGCCAAATCTTCCATCAACGCATACAACGCAGTGTGAGAGGGGTGCGGGAGAGTAGCGCTGCCTCCCCCCACCCCACCAGTACGCTGGCTTCAACGAAACTACAGCGTGTCCTCTCCTTAATGTTTAATCCTCCTAGACCCAGAGGCACAAGCATGTCAATCTCAGATAGCCTCCCTGTCTCCCTACTCTTCATCTGAGCAGAGGCTGTCCTATTAATCCCTTTCTGAAGCTTCCAAACACATTATTAACCTTCAACTATGTATCTCATGCTCTTCTCTTCACCCACCTTTCTGAAAGCTCAGCTACAATTTCACCAATCATTAATGGATAATGTCCGCAACAACACAAACTTACCATGACCAACACAACAACAATTAATTAATCGACTTGCCTTTCCTGAAGTTCGTTCTAGTTGGATCCATAGCATCTATTTTCATGTCGGTAATGTCATACTTCTTGAAAAACAGCTCAATTTCCAACTCCGAGTATCCTGCTCTGGAATCAAACTAGAGTAGTTAGAAAGTTGTCAAGTTTTACTGCTAAACTAATGGTGTTTTGACTTGTTTATTTTTTAATTATTGTGATGGATATAATTGCTGCATGACAAAAATAGTATATTACGCGACGAGGCCGGGCAATAGGTTTTCATGGTATGACAGTTTCCTCGCAAAGCTTGTTGAGTGCAGGATTCCATCTGAGTACCGTAACACCTTCCTGGGTGAGCTGCGTATGATACCTTTTTGCCACTGCCACCAAAAAGTGTTTACCTTAAACCATGTTTACCGTTTTTTAAACTAGCCATTTCAGTTCAGTTCAGTTGAAAAGATTCACTTAACAACAGCTTTGTTTACTTACTTAACAGCATTGTTTTACATAACAACACAAGTAACAGACCAATGAGGTTCAAGGATTGAGAGATAAGAAGTAGAATTGTAATGCTTCGAACTTCAACTAATCAGCTGTTAAGACAAATTTAGTAGTTGTTGATGAGTGGTGAGTATGTGAAATGCAAAAGTATGTGAAAACACAACCTCTTTTAGAAGTTATGAGTAGTGATTGTTAGTAAGTAAAAAACGGTCGTAGGTAAAGTGGTGTATGTAGCTCGCATAAATAGTCTTAAGAACACTCCTAGAAGTTTTCTACTCGTGTTGTTAACACTAACTTTACACGATTGTTGCAAAATCTACTACTACAATATACATGTTTTGCTAATTTAGACGTGTAGACTAACATCACATTAACCTAATAGATTAACCATATATATTTGAGTCATTTTGCTACTTAAAATAGGTACATGGAATACTATGACTCATACCAGTTTTTGGATTGATCAGGCAGCAATTGAATTTTCCACATAATCTGTCCTTTTTGCCTAATCTGTTGCCAGTTGAGATTGTATAGTTGACACTACAGTACTTACTGTGCCAAGTAATACCGAACGTGTTCTGAAGGCGAGTGGACCTTCTCCTCGTAGACTTCTCGCTCTATCTGAGACAGCAGCCAAGAACATTCCAGTTTACCCAGAAGCTGCATCAGCCAGATCAGCATCATGTCTGAGATGAACGTTTTAGCTCCTCCGATACTCACTTCACTCAGAACTTCTTTGTAATGAGGCACCAAGATGGCCAGAAACATGCTCTGCAGATCAAATATGTGAGTTACATTTTTGTTTTGTTAAAACGGTTGTTTAAAAATATTGTAACGAGGGTTGTCTTTATATTAAGGTCTCCATTTTGTTCCCTTCGCAGACAAGAGAGCTAGATCAAATCTGAGAACAGTAGCTTCAATTTTCATCTTCTATTCTAGCCGGTCCCCCACGATAAGTCTCGACATAAAACTAATAAATATTTATTTCATTCGGACTTTGAATGCTTAGAGCTACCTGTGTACTTTCTATATTTTACCACACTGCATACATGCCAGTTTAGTCAAAGCCATGTAAAAAACCAAACCACAACTTGTTTTCCGAGAATAATTCGGTATACACAGATGTTACCGCTACATAGATTTTTTTTTAAATTTAGGTATGCCTTTTTAAAGATTCTTTTTTGGCCTGACACCTGACATTTTTAGTTTGAAAAAGCGTCTGGCTCTGAGGTTGTAACAAGAAAGAATATTACAGTACATTCTTAAAGAATTTCAAAAACATAAGTTCTTACATTTTAGGTTTCCAAGTTCTGTATGAATTTTACAATGCTTACTGAACAATCAATGAATAAAAGCGATTGTTTCTGAACAATGCTTACTGCAACTATGAAGACCATGAAGAATATGTAAGTGAAAAAGAAGATCGGTCCCAAAATTGGGTCAGCCTGTTCTAGAGCGTCGAATTTGAAGTCTGCGATGGAGTACCTCATCAGAGCAAACAGGGCCAGCAGAAATGTCTTGAAGTCCTCCAACTAAGTAGAAAAGTATGTGATCAGGAATTCATTCACAGATGATAAAATCATAGTCAAATGATGATGTGCTTAAAAAGTAAGTAAATAAAAAATGTTGAATACATAATAATCTATACTTATTTAATACGCAAGCAGGATTTTTGTGACAATTACTCCTCCAAAACTACTGAACCGATTGACATGTTTTTGGTGTCATTGGAAAAAGCGTATTAATTGTGTAGTTGTGCAGGAAACTTTCTTTTTAGGGAAACAATTAGAGAGCGAGGCCCTGGGGCCCTTTAAAGTTTCGTATATCTCTATAAGATTAACATGGGAAAGAAAAATGTTCATGAAACTCCAGCTGTTGTCAGAAATTAAGAGTGAAAAGAAGAAAATATGTTAATTGTAAACAGGCAATAAGTTTGCTAATTTAACAGTTTGCTACAAACATTTACTCACTTGGTTGAAATGAAATATTTACTATTTAAATATGGGTTGGCGTAAATATTACAATGGAAAAAAGCGAGAGAGCCAGGATAAATTGATTTACCAAAAAGAAAACTCAATTAACACTGTGCTTCATTTCTTGGTAATCTTTGAAAGAGCCGATTTCAAACTATGGAAACATAGGAAAGTCATAGAATACCACCAAGGAGAATAGAAATATTTTTTTTTTTAATTTATAATCGTTATTATGGGCAACCTAATGTGGCTATGAGTTAGGCTATTTGTAGAAAACATTAAAAAACAAGATCAGCTTATGAAAAATTATAAGATATTTACAAGAAATGTTGATTATATCAATCTGTTATGTACATCTTGAGTATTTCCATAATCTTTGAGTCAAATCTTTTAAAGTCATCAGAAATTATGACTGTTATTCATTTTAAAGTAGCACACCTGTAATACTTAACAATTGCTCGAATTCAAGCAACAGGGACAGTAGTTTAATTTAAACTAAACATAAAAATAGTAAAGTTTAAACTCACCTTACTGCCAAATAAGAACAATCCAACAAAAGCAAAAACGAAATAGAGGTAGAAAAATATAATGAAATAGCTCATTATGTCTGGCAGAGCCTGAAATCAACATTTAATAATATTGCAAACTGTATTCAATAAATTATCTAATATTTAATTCCAGAATGCTAACTAAAATATTTTAAACCAATCAAAAATTCCTTTCAATTTTACAGAAAAAAGAATTTATGCTAAGGGCCCTTTTATTCACAGTAGCAGTGGACTGTGGCCGACCGCTGTAACAATGTTTCACGCGGCAAGCCGCTGCAATACATGCGACCCAATGCATATAGGAACCGCTCGCCGCCAGCGGTTCCTAAGTGCAAGCGGCAGAATTTACAAACCTCCACGGCAAACCGCTACTTTTGGGACTGGTCCTTTTTGAATAACCCCCATTTATGGCTATGCACTTACAAAACTGCAGCGGTTCACGTTATACTCAGTTAATATAGTCTACAAAAAAGGTAGTTTAAAGCTAAAGGCCATGGGGACAATGCAATTTGAAAAGTAAAGGAACTGATTTATAATTATATTTATGTAAAAAATTTGAATTTATACTCACCCTATGTACTGTACTATGAAGACGGTAGATAGAATGTACAATGTTGAAATATTTCAGAAGTCTCAAGAAAGCAAATGCAATGAGAACAGCGAATGATCGACTGAAAAGGATGTGGAGGTACAAAGGAGTGTCGAAGGAAATGTACTTGTCCTCATAGCTTGGGTCCTTCAGTATTGGGAGTAGTTTATTCATGTTGATGTAAAGTGATACATTGAAAATGAATGTAAAGTAGCTCATCTGTAAACAAAATGTTAACTTTGATTCGCTAGTGTGTAATTACAGATTTTTTTACATCTGATGAGTTCACAGCATTTCAGGTTCCCTAGAATTCCCGTCATCTTTTGGGTACCGGTATCTAGAACAAGACAAGATTTGGGTACTGGTACCTAGAACAAGACTATGTTTGTCACAAAACTCAGCAGCCACAGGAAACACAGTAGCTGAAAACAACAGTTTAGAATTGTTAAATGTAAAAGGCAAACAAAAAGAAAAAAAAGGAATATTTGAACAAATCATTTAGCACTATCTACTGGTAACATTACAGTATCTGGAACAAGATGCTCTGTTGGTAGAGCAGGGTACTTGGTCTCTAGCTCTCTGAGGTCCCAGGCTCAAATCCAGTTAGTCGCCAATAACTTTAGCTCTGTCGCTCTGTGTAATAATACAGTAATACCATAGCTGATCCATATAGGTATAATGTCTACTGCTAGATTTAACGTTAGTGACTAGTGAACAGAACTAGTGACAGAATGAACGATTGAGACATTGTTAATGACCCATTTAATTATATGAGCAACCATGTGGTCAGTGATTGCCTTCAGAATAAAGCATTCAAATCTGAAGGTTGCTGATTTGATCCCAAGCAGAGTTGATTCTAGAACCAAATGTCAATTATTGTCATTTCCATTTGGTTATCAATCAACTATGACATTTAACAATAGGTTGATGTTAGATGATAAATAACCTTATGATTGTACTGTTCCCTTACAACAACGTTAAACAAATGCTAATAGAATGTCCAAGCCGACAGCAAAACTAAAATATCTTATTGAATAACTGAACTAATAATGTAAACTTATCGCAACTGACTTACTATCAGCACTATCACGTCAATGTAATTCCAGAACGACTTGAACAATTTCAGCCGGAGAGTCTTTATTTCCAATATTTTTTGTACCGTGTAGAAAACCACAAATATCATACAGACAATCTCACAAGCCAGAATAACGTAGTCTGACCCATCGTTGTAGCGAAGCAGTTTCTTTGTGGTGATCATGGCAGAGGGTAAGACACCACCCGAAGGGGGTATTTCAAATAGCAGCCTGTTAACAGATAATTTACATAGTACATGGCGTACTTTATGAAGGATTGGTGTAAATGACCTTTAGAAACAAAAACATTTATCTTAGTGTTAGTGACACAAAAAATAATCACAAACACTTGTAGCCTATGCACAGTTGTAAAAATGTAGCGTACCCTGAAGATGCCACACTTGTGGTGACTACTTAGTATAAAAGACAAACAATAGACAACATTTTACTTAGTAAAATATTTTGTCTTCACTTGTGTTGCACATCCTACTCCTTCAAACAAATTCTTAAACATGATAGAAAAAATCAATGGTTTTTTAATAACACAACTTAAAATGTATCTGTTTCATCAACACTAATTCTTGTTAAGTCAAATAATAAATATAAAGTTAATTAAAATATGTCTAATAACACCATTGAAACATATATTACACTTATACTTTAACTAACTGGATGGTAAATACAAAATACATACATACCATGACTATGGTAAGTGGTAGTCAATTTATATTCAACACTCCAATCAAAATCGATTACCTCTTACCATCTGTTATATATATTTCTTGTGAGTTAGGTGTCTAGGGATAGGTGTTTTTATGTACTTTCTGTAAATTTAATAACATACACAATACTGTCAATCATCAAGAAGTTATTTAAACGAGGTGTTAGCCCGTTTGAGAAGTTGACGTAATACTGTACTGCAGAACACTCCCTTGAATTGGATTTACTTCTACTCCAAAATCAAAAGCAAAGGTGTAATTTTCTTTTAAAAAGTATAAAAACTTTAATCATTGACACACTACCTTACGGAAATTTACCCAATGACTTCCTAGACACACACAAAACTGTTACAAACCCAAGTAAATATTTATTGCTAACCAAATCTTACTTGAAAATACAAAATAAGTTGACATTTCCGTTGTAAATGGCAAAGTCGATAAAGATGGCACGAGTAGCTCTCGAGTACCACTTGAAACTCTTGAGTGCCGCAGTCAGTTGCACTGCGTCGTCCTCGTTTTGCAGAAGTGCGACGTACCCTCCGCCACCGTATCTAGCAAAGGTTCCACCATACGGCAACGAACCAGTCTTAGTAGCTGGGAGCCATTTGTTACTGCAAAGTGGAGTAAAAGTAATCAGTACATAAACTGAAATTTAATTAATTTAATAGTGAGTCTGTGGCTCAGTCGGTAGCGTCGCGGACTTCGGGCCCAAGGCAGCGATGTCGTGGGTTCGGATCCTGGTCACTGCCGATAACATTTTATCAGTACAGTTCACCTTTGTACTGTACCGGCTCACTCCTTGCTTTGCTGTAAACGATCCACGCACGGGCGCTTAGTCTATGTGGACGGGCAAATGCAAGGTTAAAAGAGGCCGCCAACCTCTTTTTAAAAAAAAGAGAAAAAAAGAAAAGAATTGGTTAGCAATCTCCTTATGGATCATTCTGTTGTAGCATAGATACAGAAGTAGATATCCCATCTATATGGATCAGCCGTTGTCATTTCTTTACTAAAAAAGAATGTAGGTGTGTGAGCCAGTCACAGAATGCGGTAGTGTCAAAAAGTTTATTTTCTACCTTATTTTTTGTTGCTGACAGAGTTGATGGGTCATAACAGTTGCTATAGCTCACAATAAGTCGTTCCATCAGTTTCACTTGGTAAAAAAACAATGTGTATTTGACAGAAATTAGTAATTTAGATCAGCGCAATCTCGCAATGTGTCTTGGTGTTAATACAAATTTAATAATGAGAATAGCCCCTATATATTTAATACGCGACATGAAACTTTGTGAACAATAAGGCTTTTTTGTTTTAAGATTTAACCCCACATATTATATACCAAAATGTTCGTCTAGGTGTGTAGATGTGCAAACTGGCTTTAGATTTTCGAAATATATCTTTTTAAGGGCGTGGGCTGCCCTCAAAGTTCCCTCCATAAGGATAACATTGTGATTGATTTGAATGTTATTATATTCTGAAACAGATGTCAATATAGCCTATAAGTTTAAAAAATCCCAGCTGTTTTGTTTGGTTTTGAAATGTAAACAGTTTGCATGTTTTTTTTTAATAATTAGAAACTCGGCAAAGGAATATTACCTATAGGACACGACGGGAGAAATGTTTTACATTTTATTTTTGTTTAAACATGCCAAGGACCAGACGACAAAGAAATATTGCCGGTCGGACACGGTGCAAATACTCAAGCAATGCAAAACGTATAAGGACCCCAGACGAGGAGCTGGAACAGTTAGTGGCAACGTGTACTTACAAAATTACACTGACAAATATGAGAATTCAGCTGCATTCACTTGGCGAGATGGCATTAAAATGTCAGAAATGTGGTGTGTTACATTTTAAAGAAGAACAAAGAGGACGAGGCAAAGGATTTTCATCCTGCTGCCATAAAGGAAAAGTGAATCTACCACCATACCGAGAAAGCTATTATATCCAGAGCCTACTTAATGGAGCAAATCATTTGAGCAGAAACTACAAAGAAAACATTAGATCATACAACTCTGCGCTCGCAATGGTCAGCACTCGAGCTAAAATTAAAAAACATAACGGTGGAGGGCCTTTCATGTATAAGGTGCACGACACAATTTATCACTCAATTGGCACCTTTCAACCGTCAGAAGGGGAGCATCCCACATATGCCCAAATTTATATCTACGACGTCGAAACCGCTGTTCAAGAAAGAATTCTAAACAAAGCTAATGGCTCTTGCAGCACTGAACTCATGCACATTTTGACACAACATTTGGTTGATATTGATCTATACGCGCAAGTTTTCAGCATGATGAGCTCCGTCCTGCAAAATACTCCTACTGAACAGCAAAAAGAACTTAGAATGCATAAAGCCAACGATCGAGCTCAAGACCAACGTCGATACAACGACGCAACTTCTAACGACGTTGCTATAATATCCTAATTTATTATTCGTGCGAATTCGCGCGGGTTCACCTAGTTTAATCTATTACTGTATGTAATACTAAAAACATCTCCATGAAAGAAAATTTGAAAGGGTTAATTTAGAATGTAATTTGTTCATATCCGATTACTGATTAGTTTTTAAGAGTTTATATCAACAATTCAGTCCAACCTAGATTATTTCCCCTACACTTTGCACTCCTACATCGGAATGAATAATTGGCTTTTAGTGTCCTATAGACACCTTCTCAAGCTAGTGAAAAAATCATCAACTTTTTTAAAGGTAAACATTGTGTTAAGCAATAAAGAAAACCCTTAAATGAGTTGTAGTTCTCTAAACAGGTTTGTCTGAATTTTAAAATGATGTAAAAGGGATTCACCTAAATATCGGTTTAAAGTGTCGTACAATACATATTATAAAATGTTCTTTCAATTCATTTTAAAACTGTAATAAAGTTGGTTTTTGTTACGAATATAACTCTCTGTCAATGTATAACCAGAAACATGTATTGACGATGTCACCTGTTTTATAGCATTGTTATTATTTAAAACACAACTGAGTGAAAATTTAAAAACGTACGTTTTCATGTCCCTGGTCTTTTACTTCGTAGTTACTGGATTTGTACTTTATTATTATGTGTTTTAATATTTTTTGGTACGGGGGCAACATGTTACACACATTTATTTGGTTTTAAATAGGTTCTAGGTATTTTTTTTGTATTTTTAAAGTCTCGAAATTCACGACCATGACGTGTCCCTAGGGTACATTTTCCAACTTTCACGCTGTTTTTAGAAAAATTATTCATGCCGAAATATATAAAGCCATATTTTTATGCCATCAATAGTTATTAAACTTACAAAAAAGGAGCATATTATAATTTTATTGTCATTGCAAACTGACAACCATAACAAAATAAGTCTGTCCCTCGATTTGGCGTCACGACCATTTGGGAAAAAATTTCAACTTTGGAGCACGACAGTGGCAAGCCTGGCGTCGATTGCGTCAGTTCGTTTTAGAGACTAGTTCGGGGTGTACGTCAAGTTTTTTGTGCCAGTTGTTTTGTGTTGAAAGAAGTAGTTACAAGATTAATAAAGGTAAGTTTGTGTTTTTTGTAATTTTTGAGTGTCCATGACCGTACGTAGTCATTTGATGAAGTAGACGCGGTGTTAATTTTTGTTGATATGATATTTCAATTGCTACATTCACCTAGAAGTCCACTTTGTATCCTCGAACATGAGGTGCAGGGCTACCGCCAGAACAGAGCCAAATAACACGTAATGTCACGACCAAAGTTTCACGACCACCGCGGATTTTTTCACGACCAATCCAACCTTATGGATTATACTGTGTTTGGTCGTGACAATAACTTAAATATCATTCTAAATTGAACAGTTTAATTCAATTGAAACACATATTTTTATTATAACTAACAATATAATTGAAGGATTGTTTAGAAATATTTATATTATTCCAGACAATTCACGACCGTACCACTTGTCCCTGACCATCGCGTTTATGATTTCTATCATAAAAATTTCAAAAATTAAAATATCATCATATTTTAATGTTTTATACACAAAAGCAGCACACCTCTATAAATACATTACGATTTTTCGGGTCTCAGGTAAGTTTTTTCGGAGTTATACAAACTTCAAAATATTTTATTGGTTTTTTTCAATTTTTTGAGTTTTAGCGAATTTCCCATATAGGGAATAAGCTATTACCGTAGTACTCATGGTGAGACCTGTACGCGGGACCGATTTTTTTTTCGTTTTGTGGTCCCTAGAGGCCAAAATCACCATCCGTTCAAATTCATATATATATATATATATTTATATATTTATATATTTATATATTTATATATATATATATATATATATATATGTGTCCGTTAGCACGATAACTCGAGCAAAAATGATCAGATTTTGATGAAATTTGGTACAAACGTGTAAACCTACGTTTATTCGAACGAGTTCGCGATCCAGCATGATCGGACCATGGGAACGGGGGTTTACGGGGGGTTTTATGGGGTAAAAATAGGTTTTTCCCAATTTTGACCCAAAAAACATAAAATTTAACAATTTCTTTCCAAACCATTTTGTAAAGCTTAAAAAAACAAATAATTTAGTATATTGAAGCGCTGTTATGCGCCTAATGGTTACGGAGAAAATTCCAAAAAATTGTTAATTTAAAATTCCCATGTTATTCTTATGGAGAATAAGTAAACTGCTGTAGTTTGCTTGTTTATGAACATATTTTGATCAAATTTGGAAAATGTTTTTATTTCTTACTAACTATTAACATTTTACAAAAAAAAACAAAACAGTTTTACCCTCCCTGATGCAGCAAACCTAAGTACTTGTTAAAACTAATTCTATTTAAATCGGGAATAAGTGTTATATTTTTAAGTAGACATTTCAGTGTAAATCCAATCAGTCAAATGGAAATTCGCTTAGTCTGCAGGTTTGCTGGGCGGGGGTATTTTATTTTTTTCTAGAAAGACCAAATATACCAACAGCTTAGTGAGCTGTTTATTGTATAATGGCCATAAAAGTAAATTAATTTATAGCAAAATATAGTTATAAAAATAATATTAACTATTAATATTCAGTTTTATGTCCGTGATGGTCGTGACAAAATTTTGTGTCTTTCCATCAAAGATGCTCTATTAATAAAAAATCACCAAAGATATTGCGTTACCATGGACATTTTATGAAACTTCAAATGTCAATGAAATAACAAAAATAAAAAAAGTTTCAAAAAACGGAACAAAAAATTTTAAAAGTGGTTTTCCTAAAAACGTACATTTTTAAATTTTCACTCATCTACAACTTAACTTATGACAACTATATATTCATAGTGCAATAATGTCTTGGTTATGTCATACTTAAAGTCGGGACCACGAGAGTCTGCAGTTGGTGGTAGCCAATCACAAGACAAGGCTAGTGCACGGTTGCCATATCGCCTGTTGAAGACACTAATTAAAATACTAAACAGTATTTTCAAATCAGCTGGTATTATTAGATTGGCAACACCTAACTGTCCTCATTTGCTCCTTCGAAGTCACGTGGTAAATAGACTCCTCCCTCAACTGCAGACTCTCGTGGTCCCGACTGTAGTTACGTACTTAACTCACAACTCACACTAGAGCTAGCCGTTCTGTCGTTGGTTGTGAATCCAAACCCATGTTATCGGTTTCCTCATTGCTCTCGGAGTACGGCATGTAGCAAGCCATGGTAGAATTTATAATCGAATAGCCATGCACTTCACAAGAACAATTCTTTGTTCTCAACTAAAATGTAACCACATAATTTATCTCACTAAAACAAAGTAGTTAATCATTTTTCTTTAATTTTAAGTGATAATAGCTGAAAAAAATAAACTAACTGTTAATTAGTATTTTTTGTGCTGGTGCTAGTGGATCTGAATTTTTTAGATTTCCTTTAAATGTTTGAGTCAAGAACACAGGTAATCTAAATATATAAAAGGCAAAGCCCTCACTGACTCACTCACTCACTCATCACTAATTCTCCCACTTCCCATTTACCTAGGAGGCTGAAATTCGGTACACCAATTCTTTGGGCATTAAATAGGAAAACTAAGTAGTTTTTATTCTGATCGGGCTTTCCAGTGGCTCTGGAGATTCCCATGTTAACCTTATGATTTTTCATATTTAAAAGGAATTAATGAATCTTAACAGCTGTTTCAATTAAACAAGTTGGTTCTGTTCTATGATGTTCAATAGCATTAAAGTTACAAGGATTTCCAACTAGGGTGCAGCACTATTATTTTTGTTTATAAATAAATTATAATTAAGAAATAGATTACCTTTTAAATTTTCTAATAACGATAAGCAGACCATTTTATATTACTTAAAAGATTTTACCTATTTTGTTTTAATCTTAAAATATCACAACTCCAAGATAATGTGTTTAAATTAAAATGTATGAATGTGTTCAATTTTTAGACATCTTTTGATAGTATGTTTATAAATAGATATAGGTTTTAAAGTAATATGTTTGAAGATGGGCACATACAATTTTGTTAGTAATAAATTTTCCATTTTTTAATTATTTTTATCAGTTTCATGTAACTAATATTAATTCTCTCTGTTCACTAATAATAGTAAGTTCTTTTATTATTATGTACCGCAGCAAAATGCAATAGTTGAAATCAGAATTTCCTAAGAAATTTCATTTAAATTTAGATTTAGTAAGAACTTTTTAGTATTATTTTAGAATTATTAGTAACTACACTTTATTATGTAACAATTGAACAGCAGTAGGCTCAACAATCAACAATTGCCGGCCGGGCAGGTGGTTTGTGCGTAGACTGCTAGATGAATGCGGATGGTGACAACTCTTTGTTTTTCCACAACAATTGTTTAGAGCTAAAATCAATTTCTGAAATTAAAAATTTTTTCTCACACAATAATGGTGATGACGAATTGAAAGTCATAAGCACAAACATCAGAAGCTATTCCAAAAACTTTGATGAATTTTTAATTTATTTAAATGAAATTCCCAAGATGGATATTATTGTGTTGACAGAATGTTGGTTGCAGGAGGGGGTAGGGGGACAGACGATTGACGGATTTGACTATGTACTCACTGATAACAGACGAAATAGAGCCGACGGTGTTATTGTTTACTTCAACAATCGACTATCAGTAACTGCATCACAGATCTCATTTGCTGACCTTTATGGAATACAACTCAATTTCAACTTACACAATAACAAATTTTGTCTGTTAGCACTATACCGTACTTTTGATTCAGATGCTAAATTATTTATAAACGATTTAGAAAATTATCTTAACCATTTGAGCAAAGATTTGATGATTATTTTAACTGGAGATATAAATTTTGATTTGTTGAGTATTAATTCTTTAAACGACAGTTACTTAAACTGTTTGTTAGGTGCTGGTCTCATTCAATGTATAGACAAACCAACAAGAATTACGAACAATAGCCAAACTTGCATTGATCACATGTTCATACGTTACAACGACATGAAAAATGTACAATCAGCAACATTACACACACACGTTACAGACCATTTCAGCACAGGCATGACTATTACTTTTCCAACCAATACACCGTCAGTTACTTTGGATACTTCTACACGCATTATCGATCATACACTACTGTCCTGTAATCTTGCGCAAATAGACTGGAGCAACTTTTTTATCGATCTTGACATTAACTCTTGTGCATCTCGTTTTTTACAAATCATGGATGAAACCATAGATAGTTCTAAAAAATCTGTTAAGAAATCATCGAGGTTCAAAAAATTAAAGCCATGGATCACAAATGATTTGATTAAACTAATTAGGGAAAGAGATAAAACTAGTAAGAAAATTAAAAAACAGCCGTTTAATGCTACTTTAAATAAAGAATATCGTGATTTAAGACATCAAATTTCCAGTGGTATTAAAAGTTCTAAGCGAGTATACTACAGGTCAAAATTAAACCAATATCAAAACAACCCCAAACGCTTTTGGATGGTTGTGAACGAGCTGGCGGGGCGATCAAATAAAAAAGACCCCTTCTCAGTTCAGAAATATCTTCCAAACGTATCCAACATCACTCCTGATGTAAGAAAGATTGTAGCTGATGATTTTAACACGTTTTTCGCTTCTGTTGGATATAACCTTGCCAGTTCAATAAATAGCAGCGGTCCGCCGATCATCAACGACGCAGATTACAGGCAGGACACTGTGTTTACACTCCAGACAGTGACTGAACTCGACGTTATCAGGCATGTCTACTCGTTACGTGGTGGGTCTGCCCCCGGTTTTGATGGTGTCTCGGCTGATGTTCTCAAAGAAAATGTAAATTCACTCTCTAAACCATTATTGCATATCATAAACTTAAGTTTGGCTAGTGGAATATTTCCGGACAAGTTTAAATTGGCAAAAGTTTTTCCTTTATACAAATCAAACTCCCACAAAGACAAAAATAATTTCAGACCAATATCTTTATTGAGTGCATTCTCTAAGGTGCTTGAAAAAATAGTTAAGGAACAAATGGTGGATTACTTGAACCAGAATCAGATCCTAGCAGACTGTCAATATGGGTTCAGAAAAGATAAAAATGTTACAGATGTTCTTTTTCATATCAACAAAGAAATTTTTAGTGCTCTATCCGAAAATTTGCGCTCAGTATTAATTTTTTTAGATCTCAAAAAAGCTTTTGATAGTGTAGACAGAAAGCATCTAATTTCAAAATTATCTGCTATAGGTGTAAGAGGGAACGCTCTCTCATGGTTCGAAAGCTACCTCAGAGATAGGCGACAATTCGTATACATAGATGGAGTCAATAGCAATGAGGTGCCTGTTGACTATGGGGTGATTCAGGGGAGTACCCTTGGGCCTATTTTATTCCTAATATATATAAATAATATTTCTAAATTACCAATTTTCGGAAAAATGTTTCTTTTTGCAGATGACACATTGATTTATGTTAAGGATAAGACATGGGAAGGTGTGAAGAGTAAAGCTCAATCAGATCTCAAATTAGTAAAAAAATGGCTCGACCAAAATGTACTATCTCTTAATGTTTCCAAAACAAAATTCATGCCTATTTCTCTCGCGTCAACAGCTGACTATAACCTAACCAATTTGATCTTGCACAGTTGTCTCAACCAATTCAATAACAGTTGTTCGTGTGATACCTTAGAGAGGGTTAACTCATATAAATATTTAGGAATAATTTTTGACTCACATATGAAATGGATAGAGCATATTAATTTCTTGCAAAATAAAACTAGAAAACTTATATTTGCATTTAGACAGTTAAGTGATGTTCTCAGTTTTAAAGAAATTAAATCAACATATTTTGCATATGTACAGTCGGTTTTGTCTTATGGAATATTAGCTTGGGGAGGGGCGTACAGTTCACATCTCACAGGTCTGATTCTGGTTCAAAAGTCTATCCTAAAAGCTGGTTTCAAAAAGTGTAAAAGATACCCCTCAGATTTACTATTTCATGAAACTGGAATATTCCCCATTGCAAAATTGTTTATCAAAGATCTTCTAATTTTTATATTTAAAAACTTCAATTCAATTTTTACTTCCATAACCCACACACATAATACAAGATATGCAAATAGAATTGGAATTTCTACTATTCAGCAGCACAAATCCTTTTCAAAAACAAATTGTTTCTACATAGCACATATTTTGTTCCGAAATTATTCCACTATGTATAAAGCAACTCAGTTATTTCATTCTCCTACATTAGGTGTATTCAAAAATCGAGTTAATAGATGGTTATTGGATATCAGCGATGAAGAGGCCGAGGGTCTTATCACTACTGATAACAGGCGACCTGCCACTGTCTGACAGCACTAAACGGACCCCCTCTGCAAACTCTTGCAACCAACAAAATTCTTTTCCGTTTTATTTATTGGCTTCCACTTTAAACAATTCTGTTATTAAAAATTTTAATTAATATTTACTCCAATTTTTTATATAATCTTTAAGCTTATTTTTATTTTTACAGGTTCCCATAGCACTTAGTACATTTTTATTTAATTTTAAACTTTTTCTTCAATTGCAAATTAGCTCAAAAAATACATATATAATTTTTAGCAACTCGAGTCTACGCACAGACCACTGAGGTCTATGTAGACTCATTTCCATTATATATTAAATTAGTTATTATTCAAGCCGGAGCAAACACTCAACTAGTATTTAAGTTTTTACTTTTATAACTTATAAATTAATTTTACTAGAAATAATTTACGTTAACAATTACTGTATAATGCTTCAGGGCTATATATATTTTTATTTTATTTTTTTGAAAAATTGTAAATTTGTATATATTGTGGAAATAAACTGATTTGATTTGATTTGATTTGTTTATTTATAACAACAGCTAATTTGCAACCAAAAGGTGAGTGAGCGTAGCGAACGAACTTCAACCTGGAGGCGAGTTAGCGTAGCGAACGAGCTAACCTGAGGGCACGTGAGCGAACAAACTTCCACCAGGACGTGATTAAGCCATGCAAAAACTTATGAAGTTAAACGGGGCAAAGCCCGCGGGTACAGCTAGTCAACAGCATAAAAGGTAGTTCAAAATAGTTCAAGTTCTTAAACCTGGGATGGGCAAAAAATATATTTCTGAGTAACCTAGAGTATTTGAGACCATTTTTATTCTTCCAGTCTTCAATGGGGTCTTATATAGATGGATTTTTGGACATTTTGGGAGGATAGGGTTCATAACTTGTTTTCCTTTATTTAAGAATATATTTCTTTAGAAACTAAACTAAACAATCAACTCTTAAATCAACAAGTTTGTCCCAAAAGGGCATTCAACTTTTTAGCCGACATAATCGCATAGTCAAAGACAGATGATGTGATGACCAAAAACACCGTTCTACCTACCTGTCTGATCTGAGGTTGACCCATCAACTTGTTTTCATATAAACGATCTTGGGTATACCAAAATGGTCTGTAAATAAGATTTTCAGCAATGTGGCTCTGGTACTGAAAAAGACAATAGATGAAAACATAAACTCTACTAAAATATGTTCGCTTTTCAAGAGGTGTTAAAATTATAATAACATGTATGGCAAACTTGAAGCTCGATTCACTCTTGATCCGACTGAGAATGATAATTAAATGGGAGAAAGAAATAGAGGGAGTTATAACATCTGTGGGTAGAGACAAGTACTTCTCTTTTAAAGCACATTTATTATTGTTTATACATATAATAATTGTGTTCAATTCATAATTATTTTATAATTTTAACCGAGTTATCAGGGTTCTCCTTAAAATGTAAAGGTTGCCAGTAGCCTACAATCAAAAGTGTGTTGAAATTGGACTCAGTTGCCATTATCCCATTGAAAAATTGATAACAGATTTGGAAAAGACAACAAAACACCTTAGTAGCATAAAACTTACAAAAAAAGACTCTTGAATGACTTGTACAACCTGACAAGACACAAATGTCTTCTAAGGACAAATAAAGATTAGTCCTGGTATTATAATAATAGATACTTACAAACCATACATGTTCTAGAGTGTTTATTTGGTAGAAACTTATCCCCAAAGGAGCTGAATCATCATCTACATCCTCCAAATCTTCAATTTCAAAAGCAAGTTCTGTATATCTTGAAACCATCGCTTCATTGAGATAAAACTTTTCCAAGGAAAACGATCCAAAAGTGACTAAAAAACAGGCTATAATGAGCTAAGATCTTTTAAATTGTTTCAATCCTTATGGGGTATGAATAATTTACAATGGATGGGGAAGTATAATAGAAAATTTCAAGTAATTCAATTGTGTAACTTTTAAAAATTAATTGTGTATTATTCACAGTTTCAAGAATAACGTTAATAAATTGGTTTACCTTATGGTTGCAATACTTATTCTATATATAAGTACCGTATTACGATTATACCTACGCCGTGTCGTCCGACCGAGAATGTAAATAATTCAATTACAAATAGTAAGATAGTGTTTGTGTTAAGTAATGTGATAAACTTTGCTCCTGAAGATGCCACACTTGTGGCAAAAAGTGCATCGAGCAAGAAGTCTACATTTTTCAAGAACCTGGCAACCATAAGGTAAACCACTTTATTAAAATTGACTTCCTACTCTAATGTTCAAACAGTTTTAAAATAATTTTTTGAAGGTTTTAAACAGTTTTTATGCTTACAATAAGTCCACCCTGGTAAAACTTTTATTTGTTTCTTAACATCAACCATTTTATAAAATTCTGATTATACCATCGTTCCAATATCTTGGCTTTTCCTGTATCTGCGCTGTGCCAAAATTTAAATTATTTTTTTAAGTGATGCAGTACGGTAAACCAAAATTATATGAAATGTAAGTTTTTTTCCAGCTGAAAAGCTGCATTTACAGGAAGCCAGTAGATCATCCAGGTTAGGAGGCAGGTTACTATTGTCTCTAATGTATTTCAAGTTACCGGAGGCGTCTATGGCCTTGGCTTAAGTGTTCTGCAAAATCAAAACACTCCCCTGAAATTTGTAGTTTGCAGGAAGAGATTATTTTGATTTAAAACCATTACAATCAATCAAATATTATAAAACTATTGATAACCATTAAGATTAAACTATAGTAGGCCTACAGTATTTTAAACAGTGAAGTCAATCTCTTATACTTACTGACAATTAGTAATATAAGAAAAATGCCGTATAAGAGTGCCTCCCTCGTTGAAACAGTGATGAAAGTTTGTCTGTCCAGATACCTGGCAATCTCACGGCTGAGCATACATCCTGAAAACATGATCTTCTGAGGACTTTGGTAAAAATAAGTTAATGCACACATTTTATCTAGATATTACATTAGTTTTAGATTTTTTATAGCTGCCTTGGTTGCAATGGCAGCTTAATGAAAATCTTAATTTGCGGACAGCTTTTAGAGGCTATTATAACTTTGGTATGATATTTTTAAATGATAATATACAAGACTGCATTGCCTAGTCCCAACTAATAGATTATTTAATTGAGAATTCTTTTGCGATATCTTCACTTTTTGTAGAGACGTGCTCCCTTAGCAACTATATGTCTACCTGAAACTTTCGGCATTCTTCTCCTAAACCAATAAATCACTGTTGACTGCCATCATTGGTGGTACGGTGGTTCGGTTCAAGAGTGTGTTCTGTTGACTCAATTTATGGAATAACTCCTTAACAATGAATACAAACCCTTTAAGAAGCGCAATGCCTTTGTAAAAAATTCAGTCTAGGAATATTTGAATTTCGGATAGTTCTCGCAGCGGCCGCTGGGTAGACTATGGTGAGTGCGAGGCCAAGTCAGCTAACTGTGTGAGAGAGAGTGAGACAACGAATGAGAGATAGAGTAGCGCAGCTGCATGATCTCATTTCGGCGACAAAATTCCAGTATGACTATTCTCCATAAGCATTTTTCTTCTTAAAGGGTTTGATATTCATTGCTCTTTAACTTTCAGACATACAGACTTTAGACAGATCCTCCTTAAAAAACAAAAGTTGCCCGCTTAGACTGGACTTACTGAGGTAGACATTTCGCCTCCATTTATCCAACGGATGATTCTTGTCAATCTCTGGATCGTAGAGGATCTCATAGTCATCTGAAGTTTTGGTCCTAGGCTTGAAACCCTCTTCAACTTTAATGGGTCGGCCAATCTCCCGAGAAGTTCCCAAGGAATGTAGGAATGACTGGGTCACCGAGTCTCTTCGTTGGCTATCTTTATGCCCTCCCTGATCATTGGAGGCTTTCTTAGCGTTGTCATCAAGTGTATTAGACATGGTCGATGTAGAATCTGTATATAGTTTGAAAACATTACCTTAAGTTTTTGTGATTACAATATTAGAATATATATGATAATTATTAGGTACCGGTATGTAAAACAAGGACAGGTGGGGGTATTTTCAAACCAGAATCCAAGCAGGTTCCACATTGTATTTTGACAGACTGGCTATCCCAGAACGTTTAGTGATGGTACATTTCCAAATTTGATTTATTTATTTCATCATATATTATTAACAATAGACCAAAACACACTTTTTACCCTCACTAACAAAAGAACTCGTTAAATCTAAATTTATCTTGATGGGGAAATATGACTTGTTCATGGAAATATATTTGGGTTAAAATCCAATCAGACAAATCAAAATTCACTCGGTCTGAAAGGTTTGCTGCATCGGGGGTATTTTAAATTAGTTTTGCTGTAATGTTCTGACCAAAATCTTTAAAACTCATTTTCACCTACTTTAATTAAAATTGGTTATGTTGCAGAAGGGAGGCCCACCAATGTCTTTGTAACCCATGATTCTATTCACCCAAGACCAAAACTTAATTGATTTAGGAGTTATAAGGCCTGTAGCGTTTTTTTTTCATGCCAAAGATGTGTCAATTGGCTTACAATTTACTACAATAACAATACGCGTAAACCCTACAACTAGGATAATAATGATAAGATTGTACGCAAGGTTATATTACACAGTACCTAGTACCACTTTCTGTTGAATTTAGCTTGCATAGTTGAAAGTTATCTTTATGGGGTTTTAAATGTTAATACAAAAGCCATGTTTATAAAAAAATATTCCAAATATATGTTGACAACCAATTTTACCAACTAAAAGTCTTAAACATTTTGTGGTGAACTATGTAACGTAAATACAAGTGACTTTTAAAAATGCTGTAAGTCTTTAGTTTACAAATAGAAAATGAAAAAACAAATTTTTGTTGCAAACACTAAAAACATTGATCAAAACATTTCACGACTAGCAGTCTTCGGATTGTTAAAAACTTTTGTTTAAAGCACATTGTGTTAACCTACACACTGAACCCAAAAATCTAAAATTAAAAGATTTATAATTATATTTATAATTCAGAAATTACCTTTTTAGAGGATAATATTCTTGAACAAACAAACTAAAAACATAGTTACTTTACCAATGATGTTTGAATGACAATATATTCAGAAAACCCTATTTTATAAAATGTACTTAAGTTATTAGTGCTACAAAACATGAACCTATGAAACAAATAAAACCATTATTATGATTTTTAAAATGACATAGGGAAACAAATTAATAACCAGCTGTTTTTATTATTTTGTATTCATTAGAGAGGATAAAAGAAAAAAAACCCACTGCAGCAAACCTGTAGACTAACCGAATATTCATTTACCACGTTAGATTTTCACTAAATGATTACCTTCAAAATTTCATATTTATTTTCTATTCAGATTTATAATATTAGTAAGATTGAACAACATTAATTTTAATGCTTAATATTGCTTACATGGGTTTACTGCTACAGGGAAGGTAATAAAGTGTGTATTATATTAAAATGTTAATAGCTTAGTATAGGTAATCAACATATTTGTCAAATTTGATCAAAATAATCCCAAAACAAGCAAACTATGACAGTAGATTGAACGGCTGCCATTTTTGACTCGGTTGTCCATTTGAGGTCAGGTTTGCAGCAATGCTTTTAGTTCAACAATTAAGACCTTTAATTGTATGTACATACCAACTTATGCTTACCTTTAAGATACTCCATATTACCTTCAAAGATACCTTCAACTTACTCCATATAATGGACATCCCCCAGAGGTGACATCTGATCACCAACAGAAAGTAGCCTAGCTTAATATTACCAGGAATGGCATGCCAAATTTGGTTGTGATATCTCATTCTTGTTTGTTTTAAAGTTATAAAGTCGTCCTACTCGTCCTAAAGACTTAATTGTCACTCTGTATATCTAGAGGCAAGATTTGTAGAGAAACATCTGAGCCTTTGTCATAAATATCTTGAGGTGTATACAAAATAACTAAAATGTTTAAAAATATATATTTTAGCAGTTTTTTCCTAGAACGCTAGGTCCGAGCCTGGGATTGTTTTTCACATTACTTCAGGCTAGACATAGGGGTTGCGGCATTATCACTTAGATAAAATCCATTGGTGATTTGGTGGGATTTGAACCCGGGACCTCATAGGGATCAAAGTCCCGCACTCTAACCACTAAACCAGCTCTCGCTACTCTATATTTTAACAGTAAAAACACCTTTAACGCAGCCTTGTTGTTTGGCCTGAACATTTGTTTGTATTAGTGTCTACGCCCGAGGAAGAATCCCACAAGTTTTCCAGGGAAAGTGGTTCAAAGGCTCAGATTTTTGTGGATGTGTTGTGCATTGAATCTGTGTCTCTTTCTAACCAAGGTCCAAAACACTCCTAAGCTAGCAACATAACCAAAATGCATGCAAATTTTGTTTTAAAGTATGAACTACTTAAACTATGCCATCATATAGGATCTCAGACACAGATTTTAAGAAGACAGGGGACTTCACCAAGCTACAGAGGTGTTACCCTTTAGCAGAAACTCTTTGTTTTTCTCCGGAGTTGTTGCTCTTTCATTATCAACTCCTTATTTTGTATTTTTTTAAGAGTCAATTCTACCACTTTGTTTATGTTTGTTGGCAGTATTCTCTATCATACTCATGTAACATAGCTAAATGATAATAAAGTAATTTTTAATCAAAATACTGTAGTCAGTTATTCATGTATTTATTTGCAAACCTATAGCTTGAGCTGTCCCAAAAAGCATGTTTTATTCCAAGGTAGTAGAGTTTTTTAAGCTTAGCCTATAATTTAATCCACTATTAAACACTAGTTTCTCTCTCATACTTGAACCTATAAATTCAAGGAACTAAAGTATATACAAAATTTCCAAATAACAAAATTATCTTTATTTTAACAAATAAAACAGTCATAACAAATTCAAATTAAAAAATCAACATACAAAATTGGAAAAATCTTCACAAACTTAATGTTAAAAGTTACTGTTTCTTCTCAAACTTTGTTAGTTTGTTGAGGAACTCGTCAATCAGCTTACTAGCAGCTTGATAGTGGTTTTCCAAGTACTCCAGCTTCTGTATGACTATGTAGCGCAATCTAAAAATGCAACAAAAAATAAAACTGTTAACATAACTACTCTGTAATAAGAAAGTCTATACGTATTCTTTCAATTGCATAAATCCTCAAAAAATATTTATGCACGACAAGAAGTATGTAAAAATGTGTCATGGTATATTTATATGCAGTTTATTCAATTTTCATGGGGGAAAGTTACCCATAACTAACAATTTACAGATGTTTTCTTTCCTAGTAATATTTAAATTCTTTAAAACCAAACCGTATTAATTTTGTAAGCAATAAGGAAATTTTACAAACACATATTGACATAGATTAAAAAAATGCATTTCTTATGTTTACCCACATTATACACGGTGAGCAGTTGGTTGTTTAGGGACTTTATTAATTAAAAATTGTAATACTTACATGTCCTTTTGAGACAGGGGAGGTGGAGCTTCTCTTTCACCTGATAACATAAAATTAATAAATAGTGTGTAAATAAAAAACAAGCACAATCTTTTAAAAAAGAGGTCATTTCACCTTGATTATGGTATGTGCACTGATTCTTTATCCTCATCTATGGGTTGATAATGATTGTTTGGGCAACAAGAGACTTGACTATATAGTCAAGTCTCTTTATACGTTAAAGATTTCATATTACAACAAAAATGAAATTTTGTCTTTTATTGTCAAGACACGACAAAGACCAGATCTTGTTGTGTCCCAGTATAGTAATCCCAGGGAAATCCCAAAAAATCTCAGGGAAAGTGGTCATTTTTACCTCCCCCAATTGGTGCATTGCATGCCAATGTAAGAATGATATTTGAGAAATTAAATTAGTTTCTATTCTAATAACATTGGCATCCAAACTTTTTAATAGTTACAAAAAGTTGATATGCTATATCGTGATAAGACTTCTTCAGTCAGCCACCAAAAAATTCAAGCCGTTAAAGACTTTCGGTCCAATCTAGAATACTTGGATTTTTTTAAACTACAACAAAAATAAAGACCTGCCCTTCACAAAGCTAAATCTAAGACAATGTTGTTAGAGTTCAGTTTAACTGGCAATCCACCAGGAAAAGTAATTACAGTAGACTCCCTCTTATCCGGACACCTTTTAACCGGACATCGGTTTAACCGGACTACACTCGGCAGAAATGACATCTCTTTAACCAGACAATTTTTATCAGCACATCGGAATAACCGGACTAGATCGGCAGGAAGTGGGTGGTACTTAAAACGACTGTTCTCGTGGGAAAGATTTGAAACCAGTGATCACGTGTGTAAATACAATGCTCTCCTAAAATTGAAGTCAAATACTGTATACAGTATGCATTTAAATGGTCCGTTTTAACAAGTTTTTGGGGACGTCGGTTTAACCGGAAAAACCGTTATCAGGACTGGCCTCGGTCCCAAAGAGTTCGGATAGGAGGGAGTCTACTGTAGAGAGAAAATGGGCTGTGCAATTCACAGTCTGTCGCTTCACACCATGGCTATGTAGCTGTGGTAGATTGTCTGTCATTCCCTAATTTCGCCCTAAATGCTACATCTACCCACTTTAGTGCTAAGACAACATAAAGTAGCTTCCACACTATCCGTATGGAAGATTCATTCTATATACCCTAACAGTATGTCAGGTACCTTCTAGGATTTGTTTTAACCCTTGAAAGACTCCCAGGAGGAAGACTAAATAAAACATCTAATATAATCATTTAGGTTGATGAAGCTAACCTGATCTGAAGCTGATCCTATCCTCATCTATTGCAGCAATTTTTGAGTCAGTGATATCATATTTCTTGAAAAACAGCTCGATTTCTAGTTCAGAGTAACCAGCCCTGAAAAATTAATGTCAACCAGTTAATGTGTTTTGGTACAGTAATGCGTTTGTCTTAAACATCCTTCGAATCAGAAGTTGGGTAAAACCGATTCAACCAAAGTATTGAGCAATTAGCTTTCAAACCATTCAACTCCAAGCAAACTTAATCCATCCTTTTAGACTGGACCCAGTTTTCACACAAAGTATGCAATATCCCTAATTATTCCAATTATACATTCTTAACAACTCAATCTGTACAGTATAACCTTGATAACAAGTCTCATGGGGAAGATCAAATATCAAGGTCTACTTACTAAGGTTTGCAATAACATGTAATTATTCAAACAAGGCTATTTTAAAATGGCAATTTTTATCATTGCCCTTCTTACCGAGGTTCCACTGTAACAAAAGTCTGTGACTTTATTTACTTACTTTCATAGCTGCAATGATAAAAACGTTGACATAAAACTTAAACACTAAATCCAAATAACTCACTGTCGCAAATAGTGACGTATGGCCTCTGTGGGTGATCTGATTTTCTTTTCAAACTGCTTGCGCTCAATCTGTGAGCGTAGCCAGTGACACTCCATGCGCTCAAGAAGCCGGAGAAACCAGAGCTTCAACATCTCTCCGATGAACGTTTTCGCTCCTCCAATACGAACCTCGCTTCTCACCTCCTCATATCTGGACACTAGGATGGCAAGGAAGATGTTCTGTGGAGGAATAGATTAATTTAAATATTTGACGGGTCAAAAGACTAAACGCAAATATTGCGGCTTATTTATTTGTTAAATTGAATGAATGATGTATGTTAAGTAGCTGTACCAGCTATGTAGTAGCTGTATGCAAGTGCTGATTCAGGAATGTTTGTTCGTTTGTTAATGTCATATCTACACATTAACACTTACCACCAAAATGAATGTACAGAAGAAAATGAAAGTAAAGAAGAAGAGTGGACCAATGAATGGGTCTGCTTGCACCAGGTTTGCGTAGTTGAAGTCTCCGACAGAGGAACGCAGCAGTGAAAACACTGCCAAGGGAAATGTCTTGTAGTCCTCCAACTGCAGAGCAAACAAAAAAAAATATATATACATACATTTTTATCAATCCATCAATAAAATAATTTCACTAAGAAATGCAATAGGATAAAAATACACAGACTGTAAATTTAAATTTTTCATCCGGCTTAAAAGTTTTAACCGCAGAATTCCTTTAGTGAGTTGTATGATTGACCCATTCTCTTCAAGTCTCTTTTCAGGTCTTGATTTCTTATGATCTTCAAGTGGTTGGGCAGGCTATTGACAATCTTTTGTCTCATGATGACCCGGGAGAAGGTAGTCTGTAGCTCTTTGAGTGTTGGAGGATTGTATATCTTCTCCTCTCACCTCAAGGATGTCATAGTGATATCACAGTCATGATTTTCAGTGATCTATAAGCTTCCCTGCAGCTTTTGTAGGACTAAGGTCAGCTAGCGTTTTTATAGCTTTTTTCTGGATTTGCAGTATACTTTCTACGAAGTGGTTCCACCCCAGACCACCGATCCCTCTGCCTTATGAGTAAAAGTTTTTAATTTTAATTATTGGTTTTGGATAAAGCATAGCATAGCTTACACTATATCGTAACGATTGCTTATAAACAAAAAAAATATACTCATACCAGGTTACAAACTACAAAATTTAAGTAGTCTTTTGTGGTCAATGTGGATATGGTTTTCAGCAGGAGTTCCTGCTCTTCATACCATTTGAGAGGTTACAAGTTATTTCTACAATGGAATATGGACTTTTTTGTTAGTATCCCCTCCAGAAGCATGTTTCACAAATGCTTTTAGGGAAAGCGGTCAAAACACTCAAAAGTGTTTGTGAATATGCCAGTAATCTAACACAATGTGGTAAATAAATAATGGAAACACTAACATTTTGTTAATTAAATCTAATATTTTATTAGTTTTACGTAACCTTCTGAACTGTATATTATTTCTTTAGACATTTAGCTTACCTTACTTCCAAACAAAAACAGACCGACCATGGCAAAAACAAAGTAAAGGTAGAAAAAGAGGATGGAAAAGCTCAAAATGTCTCGCATTGCCTGAAACAAAACAGTCAATGCATGTGTAAAACTGGTCAGATTCAATATAAAACTGAAAAAGAACTTCAAAACAATTTCATTATCTCTTATTGGCCTACAGGAAGTTTTATATTCTAGTGTGTAAACAACACAAGAACTTACCCTTGAGATCATGGACTGTAGTTGGTACATGGCGTGGACAATGTTGAGATACTTGAGAAGTCTCAAGAAAGCAAAGGCAAGGAGAATAGCGAAGGAATAGCTGTAGAGAATGTGCATGTTACATAGGAAATCAAAGCTGACGTAGTTCTTCTCATTCAAAGGATCCACCAATTTTGGAAGTTGATCATTTACAGAAACATACAGCAATATGTTGAAAATCAAAGTCATGTAGCACATCTGGAAAATATATAAATTCTGTAAGTTTCTCCTAAATTATTTACATCCAAAAAATTCAATGTAATTCAATTTACATCCCAAAATATTAATATTTTCCTGTTTAATAAACGTATGTATTTTTCATCAGTTGATTAAGTACAACTTAGTACTTAGTTGACACATTTAATTTAATTTATACCCGACACTCATTCTGAATTAGAAAAAAAAAACTGTAGTTTAGGAAATTATTTGTATTATGAAATAAATGTTATAACTTTTTTTAAATTACCTAATTAAATTGTCAAACCATCTTTGATGGTCAGATGTGTCATTCATGTAGTCTTCAAGAGACCAGTCATTTGCCTATTGGGTCTGATGATGATTGGAGTGTCCAATCAAATTCGATCATCACTACCATATATCTTTTAATTTGCCATTTTGCTAAAGCAGTATTTATGTTTCAAGTGTTATTGGACATATTTTTATTTACTCTCCGTAGTTATAAAAGTATACACTTACAATAAGAACCATCAGGTCGATGTAGTTCCAAAATGTTCGGAAAACCTTACTCTTGAGTGTTTTGATTTCCAGTAGTTTTTGAAGGGTGAAGAATAAGAAAAATATTGTAAACACTACTTCACATCCAAGAACGAAGAAATCGTAGGAATCATTATAGCGAATCAGCTTTTGTACATAATTCCAATGATTGGGGATAACACCCCCGGTTGGAGGCATTTCAAAAATGAGCCTGAGAACAGAGTGTACAAGCATTAAACTGAATTTATAAAAGCTTATCTAGACTAAGCGAATAGCATTTCAGAAGTAAACTGTATCATCTTCTGGAAATTTTGTTTATAATTGAATCAGTGATGAAGAGTGTCTGCAACATCTCTATAAATGACATAATAATCCTGACTTCAGTCCTGGTTCTTCAGCCGATTGCATAATTGTCAAGTACACAACAGTTTTTGTAGGTACAATTAAAGCCCAATTTGAAAGCAAACACAGCTGAGCGGGAGAAGTTCTGGATCTTCTATCTCTAAGGAGACATTTTTAAAGTTATAAACTATTTCTTGAAAAATGCTCAAACAAGTACTTATGCTTCATTTGTTCAATTGCTTTAGTTTCATTTTAGCGAGATTTATTACCAATGAAGAGAACTTAAGTTTGTTGGGCGCGAGAAAGAAAAAATGCCACCGCTGTGAGAAAAAAGTGCACCCACAGAAAGAAGGGAGGGGTGCAATTATCTCTCAGACCCATAGCGCATCACATACAAACTGTGGACCAGATACAAATGGATTAAAGGTAATTAGATTGACCGTGGAAGAAAGTAGGTTGAGTATCAAGCTCCCACTAGATTTCAGTTCTGGTACACTAAAAATTCTGGAAATCAAATATTGGATATAATAGATAAACACACTGTAAACATCCTTACTTAAAAATACAAAACAAGTTGACGTTGCCATTGTAGATGGTGAACTCTATGAACAACGCGCGAGTCGCTCGGTCGTACCACTTGAGACTCTTTAGTTGTAGCAGCAACTGCGTGGCGTCGTCACCGTGCCGAGAGAGAATCGCGACGTAACCGCCTCCACTGTAGGTGGCTAGCGATCCGGAGATAGACATTGAACCTGTCTTGTCCGGCGAGTTCCATTCCAAGCTGTGACAAAGATATGCTGTCAGTAGAATTGAAATTGCAAAACCACTTGTAGAATCTCTTCATAGTTGTATCAGATATGATGTGTAATACAAGTAATGCATAAAGCAAAATGGTATTTCCATTAACAAACATTATTCCTAATGTACTGAGATTACAAAGAAATGTGAACACAAAATGTAGATGCATATAAGGAATCTTATTTGACAATTTAGTCAGGGCTCTACCTTTTACCAATACATAACAAACTCAACTACAAAAGCTTTCTAATTTTCCAAGAAAACGTTTCAACTTTCAATATGCAAACTTCTATATCCAGACTTCTTTGACATTTTAATTAATGAATATTTACTTCTGTTTTGCCGTAGCTGAAGTTATAAGTCCGATTTGGCCCTTTTCTTCATTGGCCTCTGTATATGGTCCGTAACATGTTTGTATCATGTGTTTCATGGCATCCACTGTGCTACAAGTAGAGTTTTTTACTCTTATCTGTAACAAGTATTACAATATTTGTTTGCTGACAAAATAAGCATTCTTTCTAACATGCTCAGTTTAAAATATATTAATCTTAAGTTAGTCTCCCTTCGATTAAAATATTCAAATCAATATTTTAGTTCAAATTTTAGATCTTTCAACTTAACTATAAATTCATGTGAAATTTTATAATAATATCTAGATTGTAATGCATCTTCCATGATACATTACCTTATAAATCAGTACAATACTCTCCGCAATGGTGATCGTCACTCGTCAGTCAAAGTGATTCGGACTAACAAAATATCTGCATTGTAGCAGTGGAAGAGTCTATGTGCGGGGGAGGTAGAAATGTTGTGTGTTGGGGGAGGTATCAGTATCAGCGTATTGCAAAACTGACCAGTAAATTTCACAAAAACTATCTTAACCCTCCCAGTGTTACTTGACGAAAATTCGACAAGCAGCACACTTTGTGTAGTGTTACTTGTCGATTTTTCGACACGCAGACATCGTTTACGGCGAAGGCTCTATGACTGACTGAATCGGATTGAACTGGATCGAGTTAGGTATCGTTCTTTCCGTAATATTCTAAGCTTTCTGCAGAGGTCTGTCTCTAAGCGCTATTCATTTTAGTTCCGAAAATATTGTAGCAGACAGCTGACGCTGCTGACGTGCGTGTATTTGTAAACAGCTAGGTTACCCTCGGACCGATGACTGATGTGTTTTATTACGTTTATCATTGTTTTAGTGTTAAAAATCAAAAGTAGTGATATACGTGGTGCATTATAAGAAGATTTAAGTGGTTTTGAAGTGCTGGTTGATGATCCTGAAGAAGTGGGTAGTGATATTGATGTAAATTATCAGGCAGATTCCTAGCTATGGTTAGGCTATGCATTCTTAGCTAAACGCTATGTACTGAAATCAGTTTTTTGCCCATAACTTATTTATTTGCAAATCTACTTCCTTATATTATTATATATTTGTAATCCTCATAAAATTTAGAACAAAGTGGCTATTTTCAAATATTTATAGGCCTATAATTTATACAATTTCATTGAGCGCGAACTTATTTTTTTTTTTAAAATTTTCGAAATTATATTTTTTTTACCTAAAAAATTTTTTTTTTTTTTAAATGTTCCTTATGTTTTATATATAATATTGAAGCCCATGATTTTCCAAACAAAATGGTATATAGAACATTAGAATTAACATTGTTTTAAGCTTCTCAGATCCGTTTTAATAAAACCTTGCAAATGCGCCAAAAATAGGTGGACATTAAGGCCTAAACTATGGACACTTGGAGGGTTAAAACCCTTTCTGTAAACAACAACTTTCTTTTTCTAGTCTGAAATGTGTACAGAAACTGGCTGCTAACTAACTGTAAAGTGGGGCAAAAAGATGTTTACTCACCTGCCTTATCTGAGGTGAACCTATAAGTTTGTTCTCGTAAAAATACTCTTGCGTGTTCTCAGGACTTGCGTACGGGTCTGGTTTGGTGTACCAGAAGCTATGAAATAATTTATCAAGGATGGCGTTCTGATACTAAAACAAACAAAGTCATAATTCTGAGTGGTTAATTAATTGATATGTCAATGTTCTTAGTGTATATATTTTTTTACATGATTTGTAGTTTCAACTCAAAGACTTAATCCTGCGTTGTAAAAAATAAAAATGAAAATTAATCTTTAACGCCTCAGAACTCTCAACAATTGTTATTGTGCATACGCAATAGAATCTGACTGACACTTACAAACCAAATATGTTCAAGAGTGTTGATTTGGTAAAAGTCGATTGATATTGGATCCTCATCACGAGACATCTCCACCGGGAACTTCTGTTTAGTGTAAAGAGTCGCCATCGCTTGAGAGAAATAAAACATGTCCAGTGGCGTCGAGCCAAACGTGACTGAAAACAAACACATTTTGATATCGGTTACTGAAGATTGGAATGTCGTTAAAATGCATCTGTTTGGTAAAGTAGTATCGGAAACTGATGTTTTGAATAAATAAAACAATTGCAGTGGCCTTTTGTTTCCTAAAATGTGAAATTTTGAGAAACAATTATGGGTTATTCTTCACACTGCAACCTTCAGTTACACTTTTACTAGTGCAAAAATAATATAACAACCAGCCTATAAACTTTTTCTTTATTTAGTTCCATTACTTCTATCTTATTGCAGTTTTCATTAAATTCTTTGTCACTGAACCTTCAACTAAATACTGTTCCCTGTATTTCATACTAATACTATATTGACAACTTAATAGGCCTACTTATCGGTAGTAAAAGAGTTTTTTTGTGCAAATAAACAGTAAATATTTTGGTTTTAGAATTATAATTAATTAAACAGTTTGATAATTATGGTCTTTTAACTCTGGTTATAACTTAATCATTCTGGTAGACTAGTGAGCATTTGCAAATAAAACGTTTTGTTTTGTTGGAAAACCATAAATAAATAAAAGATGGATGAACATTTTCTTTACGTGATCAATTGTGATGATAGATCTACATAGTTGATATTACTCACTGATAGTGATCAGTATGAGGAAGATGCAGTATATGATCGCCTCCCGGACAGACACAGTGATGAAAGTCCTCCTGTCTAGGTATCTGGCTATCTCTCGGGTCACGAGGCATCCTGCAGAACATCAACTTGTTTTATTATTTTTATCATTTAAAATTTTCTTTAGTCATAGGTACAGCACCAATTTCCTATTTCGGCTACCTTTCCTATAACTTTTTTATTTATTACATCTTGCTTATTACTTTTCTTATTTTACAGTTGATTGTAAGAGTTTTTATTTTTGTGTGTGAGTTTTTTATTGGATGTAAATAGTGTGATTGATTTTTATAAATTGAAGTAGGTATTGATTTAGTTGTAAGTTACAATAAAATGGGAACAATCCACTCCATAAACTACCCTCTAATCTTCTGCTAATTTCCTTCCCTTCATCAATTGTTTGCACATCAAAAAACGTCAAAATTATACTATCATCAGTTTTTGTATGAACAGTTTCTAAAAAACAAGAAACTCAAGCTAACAATATTTATATAACACTAAAACTGTTTAAACTTTAACTTTTCTCTTCAACTGAAGAGAAATATTTCATAAGTCCACTGGTCAACCGTTTTCCACCTCAAAATGAGTGTTGTGAAAACATTTCATTCAGAGGTTTTGTTCACATGTAAATGTAGTAGTAATTTATCTAAGTCCTGCAGTAAAGATTCAAGAACATTGTTAGATCATCTTCTAGCATTTAAATAGCTTAATTTGGGATTGGGGAGTTATTGGATAACAGGATTTCCAGTAGACTATATAAAAAGTTGACTGGTAGTAATTCCCTACTTACTTATGGTAGTAAAACTACCCTACTTAATGTCTTTTTAGCAAATTTCCCATATAGGGAATAAGCTATTACCGTAGTAGGTACTCATGGTAAGACCTGGACGCGGGACCGATTTTTGTTTTGTTTTGAGGTCCCTAGAGGCCATAAACACCATCGGTTCAAATTCATATATATATATACAGGGTGACAAAAATGTCTGGAAACGGTTTGATATCTTTTTAACTAAATTCGTTATAAAATCCAAACTTTTCACATCAACTTATACGTATGAAAACTGATGTTTTCAAGCATTACCACTTTTTGACCTTTGCCAGGGGACGGCCCATGAGGAGTAGGTACATAATCTTTAATGTAAGCATAGGTTGATATGCACGTCATTTTAAAGTGCAAGTCAAGTGGAGTCCATTGCCGGAAACCGCGTCAAAAAAGGTTCATGCGTTACAAAATGGCGGCAGTCCAAAGTTCTTGCAGAATACACCTGCAGAGGTCTTACTATTGGTAAATACTCATAGACAACATTAGCCGGGAAATCCAAAACCTGGTTAAATTTGTTTTTAAGATTGAATAGTATTAGTCTATGAGCTAGTTGACTTAAAAATACAATGTCAGCTCTCAACCTAATGTTTAATACGAGTATTTACCAATACTAAGGCCTGTGCAGGTATATTCCACAATAACTTTTGACAGCCGCTATTTTGTAACGGATAAACCTTTTGAGACGCGGTTTCCGGCAATGAACTCCACTTGACTTGCACTTTAAAATGATGTGCATATCAACCTATGCTTACATTAAAGATTATGTACATACTCCTCATGGGTCGTCCCCTGGTAGAGGTAAAAAAATGTTAATCCTTGGAAAAAGTAGTTTTCATACATGTAAGTTGATGTGAAAGGTTTGAATTTTCTAACGGATTTAGTTAAAAAGATATTAAGCCGTTTCCAGACTTTTTTGTACCCTGTATATATATATATATACAGTAGAGTCCCGCAAACTCGGCACTTGACAACCCGGCAGTCTGGATAACTCGGCCATCACCTGGCTCAGAAAATTAGTGATTTTTTTAGTCCGAGTTAAACATGGGCTGAAGTCAAATCATTCGCAACTCGTACCAAGGATTTGTTGTACTATATCTGATGACTTGATACTGACTTGTAATATAAATATAAATAAATAAGGCAGCTAAAAGTTATAAAAATTGTATTGTTCTTATTTTTAACCCTAGTTCCCGATAACCTGGCATTTCACAAACTCGGCACCCTTCCAGTCCACATTACGCCGAGTTTGCGGGACTCTACTGTATATATATAAACAAATGTATTACAAATGTATATGTGTGTTGAAAATGTATTATATATATATGTCATTCAAACGAGTTCGCAATCCAGCATGATTGGACCATGGAAACGGGGGTTTAGGGGGGTTTTATGGGGTAAAAATAGGTTTTTCCCATTTTGGCCCAAAAAACATAAAATTTAGCAATTTCTTTCCAAACCATTTTGTAGAGCTTAAAAAAAACAAATAATTTAGTATATTGAAGCGTTGTTATGCGCCTAATGGTTACAGAGAAAATTCCAAAAAATAGTAAATTTAAAATTCCCATGTTATTCTTATGGAGAGTAAGTAAACTGTTGTAGTTTGCTTGTTTATGAACATATTTTGATCAAATTTGGAAAATGTTTTTATTTCTTACTAACTATTAACATAAAAAAAAAACAGTTTTACCCTCCTTGATGCAGCAAACCTAAGTAGGTACTTGTTAAACTAATTCTATTTAAATATGGAATAAATGTTATATTTTTAAGTAGACATTTCAGTGTAAATCCAATCAGTCTTCAAATGGAAATTCGCTTAGTCTGCAGGCTTGCTGCGGCAGGGATATTTGTAACTTATTTCTTTAACCAAACTAAATTTATACATCATCCTGAAATTGTTATCATAGAAAATTTGTCAACTTTTGTAAATTGACTATACTTACTGAGAATAGGATTACGCCTCCACTTCTCGTAAGGATGGTCCTTATCAGTCTCGGGGTTGTAGACAATCTCGTACTCATCTGCAGTTCTGGGCAGTGGTTTACGACCTTCTCGCACCTCGATGGGTTGTCGGATCTCCCGAGTAGTGCTCAGTGCACTCAGAAACGTCTTGGTAACATCATCATCGTGCTTGCCATGTGAGGTGTGTGCCATTGCTGGGCTGGAAAGAAAAAGAATATTTTTATTTTTTAGTGTACTCACACTTGTGGAAGGAAACGGAAAGAGGAGGCAGTGGAATAGAATCAGCAAATGAGAAAAATTGATTAGCAGTTTGTTAACTTTCTCACACATTAACCCAGATCAAAATTAGATTAGGGTTAAAAGGATGTGAGTTTGTTGTGGCAACAATTCAATGTTATGACAATTATTTCAACTAGTTTTCCCACCTTGTAGGCTATGTCTGGAACCTGGAATCGATTCTCACATGAGAATGAGTGTAAATTAGGATTCTAAAATAGTGTAGCCTACCTTTGAAAATAAACCTTGTACCAATGTACATTTATTGATGATATTAGCAAATTTCCCATAAAGGGAATGAATAGGCCTAAGATAGCCTATTGCCGTAGGTCTCATGGTAAGACCTAGACCCGGGACCGATTTTCTTTTTCGTTTTGAGGTCCCCAAAGGCCAAAAACACCCTCTCTTCAAATTCATTATATATGTCCATTAGCACGATAACTCTAGCAGAATTGAACCGACTTTGATGAAATTTGGTACAAACGTGTACCAACACCCGTAAGCAGGAAGGAGGTAGTAGGAATAATCAAGTCCTTGAAAAAAAACTATTGGTAGGCTGTGATAGTGTGTCATCAAAGCTTCTGAAGTCCTGTTGTGGATTTTTTGTATATCCTTTTGATTATTAGGACCTATCATCAACCACTCCTTTCAAACGAGAGTTTTCCAGACGCAATAAAATTATCTACCTATTGTAAAGCCAGTACCTACACAAAAAAGGCAGTTTGTTCAAGATCTAAATAATTTTCAACCTATTTTAATAACTTTGACATTTTCCAAAGTGATTGAAAAGACATTTTTAATAAGTTGTTAACTTTTTTTTAATAAACCGCAAAAAAACTTTAGTGCCCCAAGCAGGTGGGTCTACTGTCAATACAATGTTTTCATTAATCAATAGGGTTATGAAGGCATTAAGACAAAGTAGCATCTGTGTCTGGAGTCTTCTTTGGTATGGTCTCTCATGATTTATTGCCAGAAAAGCTTAACAACATTGGATTACGTCCCCTATCGCTCATATTCTTATGGAGAATAAAAACACTTTTGTAGTTTGCTTGTTTATGGATATATTTTGATAAATTTTGTCAATGTTGTTTATTTTATTCTAAGCTATCAACATTTTTATAAAAAAAAACTTTAATACCTTCCTTGTGGCAGCAAACCTAAGTAGGTACTCTTAAAAATTATTGTTATTTAAATAGGAAATAAATCTGCCAATTTTAAGGGAATAATTTAGTAGAATTCCAGCCTGTTAAATAGAAATTCGCTTAGTCTGCATCTGCAGGTTTGCTGCAACGGAGGTATTTAGTCAATCTTGTAGGTAAAAACTTAGTAATGTATGATAAACCATATATAAGCTAAGACTAAAAGTAATTAATTATTATTATGTTGGAGACTCCCAATCCAGCTCTTTTAGTTTCCTACTCTGTAAAATACAATAGCCACAAATTAAATCTTGCTAATGCTGAACATCACAGTAAGTTAAGTTAAGGTCTGTTTTAAACATAGGTACCTAATATTTGAACAAAAAAAACTTGTTTGTACAATAAAATAAAGGAAGTAAAATGAAAGGAAGTAAAATAGAGGTAGTAAAGGTAAATTCACTTCATCCCAAAATAGACTAATAACTGAAATATTTACTATCAATAGACATTTTATACTTACCTTCTTATATTGAGAACTTACTTATATTGGTCAGGAAAGAGCATTAATGTTGATCCTGTAAACCAAACTGTTCAGTAGTTATTTTTGTTAAAATAATATGAATCAGCTGATTACTACTTTATAATCCCTTTATACAGACTAAAAGGTATAATTAATTTGGTTAGCATTGACTATTCTCATAGTAATTTGGTGAAGTTTCTTTTATTCAAGCTGTAGTGAATAATAATTTATGTTAGTTACAATTTACACTGTCCATTTTTGAATGAGGGGTTTTGTGCAAATGTGTACATTTCCAAATTTACTTGTGTGAGTGTGGTCCATCAAAATGGGCCGGTTGAGCAGCCCATTATTTTTGTCCATGATGTCAGAAGTCCTATAAACCAGTGATTCATGTTCCACAGCTTCCCAAATGGCTTCTCGCTAAGATTAACAAGCATCAACAACAAGAAATCAACAATGGTCAACAGTGTTTTATCATTGGTCAGTTTCTAACCCTGCTCAAAGTAATGTTGTATTTGAAATAAATATTTGTGTAATTCTGCATCACAGGACATTATTTGATAGGTAGAAAACACAAAACATCACCAACATTTTAATTTGGATATACAGAACAGCTGATTTATTACTAATCACATTTAAATTTTACTTAACACTAACATTGTCTTATTTTAAATCAACCAACAATGTTAATTATTACACAGGAGTTCATATAACTTCTGTAAATTATTGCAGCAGTTATCTTATTTAGTATTGTCATGTTATATAGTATTACCATGGATTATTAATTGACCAAATGACTTATTAATTAAGTGTTTTGGGTTAGCAAACCTGTAAGCTGTAATGGGATATTATGTTTACAGGTGGCAGTGAAATACACTATGTCAGCTGATTTTATAGTTGATTATTTTCTTTCATGTTGAAACTGGAACTGGAGGATTTGTTATTTTGTCTAGAGTGAGTGATTAAATGTGGTGTTTACTGAAATGAGTTTATGATTGATTTTTTAGATTGAACTGTATTATCAGGCAATCAAATACTTTAAATACTGGTTCATTGTGAGTACATAACATTTTTTTAGTGTTTAATTATTTTGAATGAGGTGGTCTAACCATTGATAAAACATAGGTACTACCTTGTGTTGGTTAGTCTATAGTTTAACTAGGTACCCTAATAAAATTATTCAAATTTGAATAGACAACTTCTGAATAATTTCAATAAGCTTAGCCTTTACCAAGTTGGTTATAGCCTTTGTGTTGGTTAGTCTATAGTTTAACTAGGTACCTTAGTAAAATTATTCAAATTTGAATAGAAAACTTCTGAATAATTTCAATAAGCTTAGCCTTTACCAAGTTGTATCATATTTAATACAATGAACTGCTGTTGGGTTTAAGTAGCACCTACCTTACTATAATTGTTTGTTTTGTAGGAGAGTATAAAAACTGCATCTTTATATTGTTTTAATAACATTTCAGGTGGTTTTCATTAGGCAAAGCTAGTTTCTGATGAAAAGACAAAAAATACTCAAAGAACGAGGAATTTATCTGTGGATGAAATGGAAAAACAAGAAGAAACCTGGCATTCTGATGCTCTCACATCGGCTTAGTAAGATATTATTTTCATTAAAATTTATGGTGCATATTTTGAGGTGAAAAAGAATGAAGAATGAGTCTTATATGAATGAGATGAAGGGCTTTTTTCTGACTGAGACCAAAGCTGTTTGCAGCCCAGGGCAATGGTGCACCACACACCCTGGTATGCAACTGGGTACATTTTTGAACCACCAAAAAGCTTCTGGCTTTTGTCAGGATAGAACTCGCGACCTTCTGATTAATAGCTTAATACGCAAACATTATACTCACGTAGTTGTTCAATGATGCTATTGCTATCTACTAATAAGCGGACTTAGGTAGTAACAATATCAGCGTTTGGACCTTTGGTCATTGTCATAAATGTAAATTGAATTGTTAATTTAAATTCTCTTACTGTTACTCAATAATGGGTAAATATTTTGAATATAACCTCTTAATTTTCATTGGTTATAAAATACTGTAGCAACATTGTTTTAGGTTTTTTGTACCTTTTATAGCGCTAAGTATCTTCTACTTTTGTCACAACTTGTTTTGAGCGATCTTATGGTTATTTATGGGGTTTTCAATGTAATTTTTTGACCAGCATCTGGTTTTGTACCATCTAAGTCAACCTTTGGTTAGATAGCATCATTCATTGAAAGCAAAAAAACAATTTAATTTGGAATCAAACCAGCAACCTCCATATTTTAAGTCAAAAACAGAATTTATTCAGCTACCCAAAGGTTTTCCATAACCAGGTACATTCTAGTGAATGTATTTGTTTGCTGGAATGAATCACCACAAACGGTGTCCAATCATTTGGGTAGTGAGTTAAACAAGTTTAAATGATCAATGAATCAAAATATCATTGATCCTCGGAGTGAGCCAGAGTGTCATGATCAAACTGGGTCTGAGTGGCGCCCGGCGCCGCGGGTGAGGCTCTCCAATTCAAGCAATTGCCCCCCAAATGTGTGCCTGGGTCAGGGTCGAATTATTGGGCGAATCATAAAATGTGCGTCATCTCGCCAGATTGTTGTGTGGGAATGTGTGTGAACTTGTAGTTTCATAAAAGTTGGAAGTTAAAACTGTAAGTGCTTAAACATAAACTCTTATAACTTAAAAGAGTATAAGATAGCTAGTGTGCTTGAGGATAATAACTGTGCAGTTAATAAAGAAAATGTGATAAATCGAGGGGGGGACGATAAGTGACGTTTTTGTGGGTAATGGTTTGTTTGAGCAAAAAACTTACAAAATTTACCTTCGCAAAAACAATTTTCCCAAATATAACTACGGTATTAATTTTAACTCATAAAAAAAATGTTTTGCCAATAGCTATTGCAATGAACTGTTAAACTAGCATCTGTAGTTTTGCTCAAAAGAATTTAGTGAAAAACCTTGCAATAAAATCCTCTATAGTCAACAGTTAAATGTGGATCTGCAAAAGATAATAAGAGATAGTATTTTATAGTGAGATATAGACACAAAATGCGTAGTGAACATTGAATAACCAAATAAAAAAAACTTTCTAGATTTACACAATAAAAAATAACTTGCTAACAATTTCAATACCCAACCACTTTTTTGGTGTACTAAATATTGCCTAAATTAAACTAAATATGACTGTAATAAAATGAAATATCTAATACAACACAAAATTAAACATATGAATTAGACCTACTGAACAAATTGTAAAATATAAACAACAAAAATTCAAATTTGTCTTTGATTCCAAGATTTGTCTCACAAATACTCATCACCGTTGACAGGTATGCCTTATTGAAAATTCCAAGGCTTTAAGGTATCAAGATAATGAAGGTATCAAGATACTCTACATCTAACCTTCAAAATGTCCAACCACTTTATTGTTTCTAGATAGGAGGAAATATTATCTAATGACAGGGCTTGATTTGCAGCGGAAATGCGTCCCAGTACCTCTCCTAAGTACATAAAAATATTGGCATAAATAGGTAGGTACAAAAATAGGTACTGATCACGTTAAATAGGTTACAGTTCCGGAACCTCATTTTTTACAAATCGAGCACTGCCTAAATTAGGCATTAAATTAAATATTAAATGGCAATAGACTTCTCAAAGCAATACCAAAAGAATGACGGAAGTTGTATGAAAACAACAAAATACAGCTTTTCTTACACTTGAAATATCATGAAGCTAGAGCCAGATCTGACGTAAGCCCTTGTGACGCAAAGCTTGACAACTTTATGACGCTAAGATTTAGATGCTGCGAGTCAGAACTAACCATTGTACTCTTGTGTTAGGCTACCATCAAAGTTTTTAAGTATCCGGAGACTGTTTTACGATGTCCAAGTCGCCATAATCCAGTTCTCACAGCTGCTTTACGGTTCAGGGTTAGTTGAGGCTTTTAGAAATTAAATTACAGCGATGAATCATGTGGGAACGGGTTTTTGAAGGGTGGAACAAAGATTTTAAAAGATATAATTAATTTTTGTACGATTCTTTTTTTCTGGAATATCTATTGTTACATCTTTGTTTTTAAGTGGTTCAGAACCACTTTTTCCCAAATGGTCTTAAATTGTAACTTTTTCAAGCAAGAACTGTATAGTTAAATAGGCTAAATATGGTTGTTTCATCCCAGACTTAGGGTTTATATTTATCATCTTCATTATGGGAATTTGAGAGGGGGGGAAATACATTTTGTCTAAATTCTAAAAATAATTTTTTCACCCCCACTTTACACAACCAAAAATTATTGCTTAACAATGCTGTAATTGAATTGGTAGTTTGATCCATACTATATTTGTAAAGGCTAAAATTGTTGTCGATTATTTTTTTGTTACTTAATGATATTATCGAGCATTATTATAAGGATTTTATAGGAGGAAAAATCTACTCGCACTTATCATAATTCTACAATGATTACAATGTCAATGTCTCCTAATTTATTTTGGTTATCAACAATTTAATTTTGAAACAGGTGTTTGACTCTTTGACTTCTGTTTTATTTTCTTTAGCCAAAAGGGTTAAGTTCACTTTTTAGCGAGGCAGTAATATTTAGTCAACTTCAAAACATGCCAAAACACAAAACAACAACCTTCATATTTCACCAAATGCAACAAAATACACACTCGCAGTACTGTGTGGTTGTTCAACACGACTTTCAAACTCGCTGGGCGACTGTAGCAACAATCGCCACAACAATGCAGTGTTTGCGCCACGCGCCGTATGGTGCGCTAGTGTCGTCGCGGCGCTGGTAGTTCCGTCGACCGCCGTACGATAGCAGCACCCTCGGCGCCGCCAGAAGAGCGCGAGACGCTAGACTCTGAACGGGGATTCCGCCTACCCGATCACATGTGCCGGGGTCTTCGGTCTTTGTTCCACAAAAAGACGAGTGTTTGAGCTGAGTGTGTGAGCGGTTCGCGGCGTGAAGTGTGCGCGTTCCAATACGTTTTATAGGTTAGTTTTCTGGGAAAAGGTGAGTTAACAGAATATTTTCTAGTTTTAAACATGTTTTGAATTTTTTACACTTAAACTTTTACCAACCGGGTTGACTGTTAAGGATTTCAGTGGGGTTTTGGTTTTGAGGTTTGTTATGGATAAGGAATTTTAGGTATGTGGGGATTTTTTGCGACGGCGTTTTTGTGACAGATTCAAAACGCGGTTTGGATTTCGTCTGCAGTTGGTCGAAAGTGTACAATGACGTTTTTAAGTTTTCAACTATTTTCTCAACACCCAGGTTTCAATGTAAAATGTTTATAAACCCAAACTAAGGATATAATTAGATTGAACATACAAAACTAAACTTATTTTGATTTCAACTGATAATTCTTCACATAATCGGCATTTTGCAATAATTTAAAATTTTAGACTTTTAATCTGTAAAAACGTAAATATATGAAGTTTTTGAAATTAAGATTAATATATGAAATTAATAAATTAGAATAGCAAAGTTCTACATAAATTTTAAGCGTCAGCAGTTAGTGGATGAAAATATAAAAGTAGGCCTACTGTACTTTTTAGCATTGAGTATATATACATTTAATTTTTTTTTGTTTTGTTCCCATTTTGAATATATTTTTTGAACAAAACTTCAATAACAGTACGGTATTTTGATTTTTTTTTATTAGAATTAAGAAATTGGGAATATTTTACCTTTTTTTGGAATTAAGTGTTATTATCCCCGTAGTTCGTCTGACAGTACCTTCCAGAGCTATTGTGCAATTTTTCAAAGTTTTAATTACTTTTGTGTCAAGTTTTAATTTTCGTTCATCGACCAAATAAACATTGATTTGAAATGCTATTCGTGACATCAAATGAAGCATACAGCTTGTTCATTCTATACATTCTGAAAGCATTGTAAAAGTTGTTAAGTCCTTTGCTCCAACAGCTATAACTTTAGTAAGCATTTACTGCTGTTTGCAAGATGACATTTTAAACCCTCTTTTCGTAGTTCACACTATAATGTTAGAGACTGAATCTTAAATAAATACTTCAATTAATTAACCGATTATCAAATACGAACTTGAGAACATTTCGTCTTTCTATTTCAAGCAATGTTATTATTCGTGGAAGGTGAAAACAAATGAAAAAAATTAATTTTCTTTTGTCTCAGTTAACGTATCAATCTTTCTATAAAAAAATCGTGTTTTAGTTATAAGAATTTATTAAGAAGACAAGGGCGTGGTCTATGTCAATGTCTTCAAAAAAAATTTGCAAACGATATATTTTTGCTATTGCTATGTGCTATGTGAACAGATTAATTCATTCAATGTACCGTAGTCAATGTTCTTATATTTTGTTGTTAATAAACCAAAAAATTACCCTGGTATATTCTATTAATGTTATGGATGGTGCTAACATATTTTGGATTTTTTGTACTCTCTCGCATCTTATTCTTCACTTAGTCGATTTGTATTGCAAAAAGATTATCCAATTAGTTTCTTTTACACTTTATCGGCTTCTCAAGCTCGTTTTTCAAAATATTCAAAATATTTTAACGTTTTCTACTTTAACATTACTTGACAAGGAATATGTGTTAAGATATAAAAATTTACAATTTACGAATACCAGTTATTTAGTTAATAAATTGCTAACATTGCCTTCAATAATTTCCCTACATTAAATGAAGCTACACATTTTTCGAGTTATTAGGGAACTGAATTAAGCAACAAAAGAGTTTTCGACGCCTTTCAAAGTATTTACCTCAAAGTCTAAACAAGAAACATCATTGTCCTGTGGAGGGGTTTTTAACACTATAATTATCAATGCCAGATCTGCGTGGGCTGAACCATGAACCTGTAGTACGCGATAGTGCTGGTGTAGGCCTACATACAGAGATTCAGTCTTCTCATCACATTCTTCTGCAGATTCTTGTACGGGTTTCAAATGAGATAAACTAATGTTTGGTCCAGTAAGTAGCGTTTCGCATTTGTAGGTGTGTACAGTTCGAATTTCTCTCTAACATATTCGATCCATTTTTTATGCACACTTCTCGTGTCGTTTCGGTTTATAAAGAATACTCACATTAACAATTTATAGTTAAGTAGTTACAGTAACAAGTATTGAAATAACATGAAGTTATAACAAGTTGTAGTAAAAGATAGCTACAAAGCTTCACAGTTTCAGTAAGTATGTAGTATCAAATACAGTAGGTAACAAATAGTGTCAGTAAGTGATAATAAGAAGTAGTAAAAAGTAAAATATAAGTAGTGAGTATTTAAAAGTAGAAGTGAATAATAATTAAGGTGTTGGCTACTAATTAAAGCTATTTACATAGTTTATCACTTTCATTTTATTCAAAAGGCCTAGTCGCTTATCTTAAGTTCTCCAAGGGTCATAGTAGTTAAATATGGGATTTTTACTTTGTACAAAACGAGTGAATCATTTCATGTTTTGTGTGCAATTATTCTACATCCAGCAAACAATTTTATTTATTTAGCTTATTTAATATATACTTACAATTTTATATTTTATATTTTTATATACAAATATTTTTCTATTAAATGGTTCCTTCTAGTTTGTATTAAGCTATAACATTTTACAAACAAATAGATCTTAAAAACTAATTATTTATCTAGTAAAAAACACCAGGGAAGAATATAGTAAATAGTCTTAAATTTTAAATTAATGTTCATATTCCGTACACTTGTAGAACTGAAGCCCATTTGAACTTTTTAGAAAACGTCTCGCCATTTAGATAAATAAGACATAAATAATTAATGCACTTTCAGATTTTAAAAGTCTCCTTTAAAAGACAGATTTTTAAATAAAAAATAATAATGGCTATATCACCCAGTCGGTTGAATCAGGGACATTCGGTTTTAAACTACACAATTTCAGAATCAGGGAGGACTATTAATATTTAAAATACAACATTCTTGATTTTGGCACCCGCTGCGACGGACATAACCCTTCGGTGGATGCGCCTCTAAACCACCTCTAAAGCTTTAGGTAGTTCAAACTAAAAGAAAAATAAACAAGTTTTAACTTGCCTTAGATATGTCAATTGCAAGAAAAAATACTTATCGTAACTAAGTCCGGCTGTATTATTCTAATAGTAATAGTTTCCTAAGCCGTTCCTATAAGTTCGGCTAAAATACGTCAGTACAAAACTGTGAAGTTATATTTGTCTTTGTGCCTTTCATTTCAAACAATAATGTTAAAGGTTTAGAGGTGCATCTGGTACTAAATAATCATAACTTAAAAGAATTAAGTTATGATTATTTTTTATTTGAGTCAAGAGAAACATGGTCGATGCAGCTAAACTGTTTTATTCTAATAATTGACTAAGAGTACAGAGAAAGGATCAAACTGGTTCCAAGTGAATGGTTAATGTTATTAGAAAATCGATCTAATTAAGTCAACACTTTTTGTTGCACAATACAATGTTAGTTTGTTCAAAATTATTATCATTATTCCAGGCAGTACCTAGTTAGTGGCATTTTTAGGGTAAAAACGTATTTTCTACTTAATGTTTTCGTTTACAACATTCTAAACCAGGGCGAGGAGGATAAAACTATGTAAACCCTAATAGAAAAAAACTCTTTTTATCCATCTGGCGTTATGTAATACTTTTACAATACAATCGTTTGTATAATTTTATAACAAAACATATCAGCCTTTGTGTCATTTTAATGAGTGCTTTCTGATAACTTTTTGTTGTCACTATAAATGCATAATCAACCACGGCATACTTCATATAGTACGAGATTTTCCGCGGTATCCGGAAGCCTGTCTGTAACCACTAACCAGCTGATTGCAGCAGCTAATCACACCGGCGTGATCAGCTGTTCAAGTGGCGGTATTTTGAGGTTATGTTCCTCATCGTCTGGGATTCCGAACGGCCGTTCACCCGGCTCCACAGAGTTCTGTGCCTATAGTCTCTCTCTAAGATAAAAATTGATTTCTTTCCAATCACGATTGACGCCAAAACCATCGAAGTGTTTTGATTTAAAAAGGCTATCGATTCGAGCTAATCTTAAAAACTGTTATCGAGTGGTTATAAACTATCATTCGACAGTTGTAAAAACCTTTTTATCAAAAACCAATTCATTAATTTAGCTTCTTTGATTTTACAAAGCTACTTTTTGCGTTCTTATTGTTAAAGTTAATTTTAATAAAGGTGGGTTGATGGTTTGTTTCTTTGATGTATTATACCTGTTTTGTGGTATTATAATACCCACTTACAAATTAATTTTTAAATGGGAACACATATCTGTAATTCGGACTGGGCTTACTCAAATATACGTAGGTTTACTTATACGATCCAACTTTTAATTTACGTCAACGAGTGTTATTATGCGTTAATGCAGCACGTCAAGTCTACAACTACGCTGTTTTAAGGTCGCCATCAAAGATTCAAAGCGGAATCATCGAAACTTGAACAATTCATAAAGTTGACTGTTCTCACACATATGCGGATGAAACAAAGATTTTGAGAAATACTTTAATACTTTATAATTTTTAATAGCCTACTTTTCGATGAAATGGCGACCATATAAACTAGGTATTTTAAGCCAAGTATGGATGGAGATGAGTGTTAGAATTAAATGGTACTTCTAAACGTATATTTTTTGTAAACCAGGCACAGTATGGTGTTCACACACATATTTGGACGGGCGCGGTGCATTTGTGCATTCAGACTAGCGTGATGCCGTGAGAGCGAATAGAGGGACAGGAACGCGACTATCTGATCGACATACTCCGACAATACTTGGCTGGAAAGAACACTGCATACCGTATTTGTCATGGGGTGTATTAGTAATTACAGTTTGTTTCAAGTCGTATCCAGTTTGTTTCAGTTTGTGTAAAATTTGTTTCATGTAGTGTACAGTATGTTTTGTGCAACGTTCAGTTCGTTTCACGTCCGTGGTCAATCTATTTTATTTTCCTACATGTTATTGAATCGGAAAATGTATAAGATTTGTTGATGGCATTATTGGGGTTACTTGGTTGAAGAAAAATCTAAAGGGGATC